TTTGAACTTAAGACTAGTTGTGCATGGCCGAGATGGCGAAAGCCCATAAGGGATGTCCAGTGGGCCAATATTAGAAAGTCAAAATCTGAATAGGGGCCCACAATGTCGGCAATCTCTTAATCTTTGCGCCAAGTGCGTTCCCTCTTTCAGCCATGAGTTTGGTGGTGCACATCATTGCACCTGCACTCACAAAGTGGTTCGTGTTTATATATAAATATAAACACTTGGCATAGGATTCTAAACATCGAACCGTTGCTCGCCTTTGGGCCTATAATTAAATATTTTGGTCATATTCAAAGGCCCACATTAATCACTTCATAATTACTCTTAATTAAGTCACTAAATTCACATTGAGACAAACCAAGGGATAAAACCACACGTACATTTAGGAAGTGTTAAGGTTACGCGCACTAGAACACTTTTTGAAGCCTTACGCACTAAGCAAAAAAGCAAACCTTATCTGTTTCTCATGGGATAGTTACCCTTAAATCCCTAAGGTTTAGGTTAATAACACTTTAATCCATTTGAATTGGAAAGCGCCATCTCCTATATGTAACTATAAATGTAGAGATAGTTACATGGAAGAAGTGAGAAATAATAGTTTTTGACTATATAGATGCATATGAAGGGACTCGAAACTTAAGTCCTTTCATATGCATGACTACCAATAAAATAATAACAAATGCTGTCAGTTTTCAAAACCATGATAGTTTTCTTTTTTTTGTTTTTTGATCATCGAAGCTATTCAGACTAATTTACATACATCTTAACTATTCTCTTAGGACCTTATAACTGTTATCCAGAGAAAAATCTCAATGACTACCTTTATTAGTGTCTAAGGGGACTCAAATTAAGAATCTTATAAAACATATTTTTACTTTTTTACTATCAGGTCACTCAATGGTGATTAATTGATTATCATAATGACAGTTATGAGTTGATTACATTTTTTTTATTATGTCAGTAGAGTGCATTTGTGAGACGGTTTTATATTAGGATTTCTCTTTTAAACAAGAATAGAAAATAAAACTTGAGAGCCCACCCCACCCGTGGTCATTATACAAGGATCGAAATGTTACTTTTATGATTTTAGTAGACAAATGTGAAACTCAACATTAGGGACATAAGTGTAATTACAATTTCCCATGTGTGAACTCAAATCTCAAAAAGTCATCGAAGCTCCTAGAAGACCTTCTAGATAATGTCCAAAAAAATCAAAATCAGACACTAAGCTTCACGCACCCCACGAATCACTATCTCACTCGCTCTTTTCTCTCTTTCCTCTCGCTCTTCTCCATCTTCCGCCACGTCCCCACCTTTAACCGCGTTTATGCCGTCATCGCACTCGTATTCGCTCTGAATTTATCCTCCCCACCTCCCAAAAAAAAAAAAAATGAAAAAAAAATTTCTTTAATCTTCTTGTGACTTGGTTTTAACCTTTGACAAATCCACACGCAAACTTAATACTATTGAATTGCCATCCGCCCTCACTTTCCAGGAAATTTCTAAATGGTCTTAATCTAATCTCACCTTATTTAACTCTCACTTCGTCACCCACCGTCTCTCCCATTTCACAACCACTTTTAACTTTAGTTTCCTCTGTGGTTTCTTCCCTGTTTTGAGCTTCTTTTTTTGTTTTTTTCATATTATCTATACATATAACGCGTAAATAAGCAATACCCATTTCGTATTTTGTTGTGTTGGAAGTGAATTTCGGTGTTTCAGATGGAGAACAATCAGCAATCGTTTTGGCAGTTCAGTGACCAGCTCAGGCTTCAATCGTCTAACTTGGCTAATCTGTCGCTCAATGATTCGATTTGGAGCAACAATTATGGGTCGAAGAGGCCCGATGAGAGGAGGAATTTCGATATAAGAGTCGGCGGTGAAGTGAATTCACTCAATAATAGTTTGAAGCCGACGCAAGTATCCGATTTGAATGGGTTCAACGATGCGTACAAGATGGGCATCAATGATGGGTATAAGATGGGCATCAACAACAACAACAACAACAACAACAACAGCAACAACCTCAACAGTAATTATAATATCAACGATTTTGGTTTGGGTCCGATTGGTCCACTTGTCGGTGGCGCATCTCACAAGAACGTTGGAATCAATGGAGGATTTAACAAAGGGATTTATTCAAAGCCGGGAAATTTTGGTCTTGCTAACAACAATTATATGAATGTTAATTTGAAGGGAAAACAAAATAAGGAAGAATATGAATTTGGAGGCAAAGGCGGCAAGAAAAACGGCCACAAGAAGAATCAGAACAAAGATGGTGACAACAACAATGAAACCAAGGAGAAAAATGCAGCTGATAAGAGGTTTAAGACACTGCCACCATCGGAAGCTTTGCCCAGACATGAAACTATTGGCGGTTATATCTTTGTCTGCAACAACGATACTATGGCTGAGAATCTTAAGAGAGAGCTCTTTGGTATGTTCTTTTATAACTATACTATTATTATCTTCCCATATTCCAGGGATTTATATTACATGAAAAAAGATCCTTCGATCTTTCGGATCTTCGTTTATAACTTTTTTGTTAATTGTTTGTAGGTTTGCCTCCACGTTACCGCGATTCAGTGCGGGCGATAACCCCAGGCTTGCCCCTTTTCCTCTACAACTACTCCACCCACCAACTCCATGGAGTTTTTGAGGTTAGTTTCTTGTCTCTCCTGTTTCAGTTTATTTACAATTAGTTTGATTTCAGCAACTATTGAAAGATCTGAAACTTCTTGTTTGCGTAATGAATTGGGATCTGTTTTAAATTTAGGATGAAGATCAGTTTAGCTTATTGTTTCCTTTAAATGTTTCAATGAGTTGTACATATTTGATTTATATCCATTTGTTCTGTTTGATTAGGCTGCTAGTTTTGGCGGAACAAACATTGATCCAACAGCCTGGGAGGACAAGAAATGCCCCGGCGAATCACGCTTCCCGGCTCAGGTAAATTTCCTGTTGATCTCTTTGGATTGTCTTCAGATTAATTGCAGGTCTTTAATCTTTGTAGTATATTTCATTTGTTTCCTGTTAACATCTTTGTTTGGGTACAGGTCCGAGTTTTCAAAAGAAAAAATTGTGCCCCACTGGAAGAGGACTCATTCAGGCCAATTCTCCACCACTATGATGGCCCCAAGTTCCGCCTTGAACTTAATATACCAGAGGTAATTTACATGACATGCTCTGCAACTCAATGAAAACAAATTTGTTATGTTAATGGGAATTTACTTGGCGTTCTAATTTTATCTTCTTGTTTATTGTTTTACAGGCTCTTTCACTCTTGGACATATTCGAGGAGCAAGACCCTGAAGCAGTTAACCAAAACCCAGCAATCCTCTACTAATACAAATACACCAGATAGTGAAGAAATAGTCTCTGTTGAAACAATGCAGAGAAAGAAGAAATAGAGTATGGATTTATAATATTGTGGGAAGAGTCCAGAGGGAATTTGGAGGAATTAAAGGATGATGTATACACGGCCTTCTAATGTATAACTTTTTCCTGAGGCTGTTGTTGTGTTTGCCCTTTACGTTCTTCTGTTTGGCTTATACATAAATAAGTTCAAATCATAGAAATATACTCATGTAATCCTATTACAGTTTCATTTGCCGTATGAACTATGAAAGCAAATTAATAAGTTTTGTTAATCAAAGTTTCTTGATCTCCTCTATAAGTTTTGAAATTTGAGTACCCTTCAATTAATTAGTTAGGAATTAGTTGAGAAAGCAGCAGGGTTGGTTGAGAAATTCATGGTTAAGCTGTTTTACAAGTTGGGATGAATGAGGAGACTATTTCAGAAGGGGGTGGTTAGAACTTTGACGCCATTGATGAACTTGAAATCCACGATTTAGTACCAGAGTAGTTGAGCCATCTTTCTCAGGAGTCTTCAGACTTCACCCACCGCAAATTTAGAATAATAATAAAGAACCGGAGTGGGTGGTGGCTCACTGCAACAAATTATCTTCTGCCACCTATATTACACACATAACTTAGTCTACAAGCAAACCTATTCTTCCTTCTCTAATGGGGCAGAAGACTTTTTGATTTCTTCAAAGCTTCACAGGACTCGGTCAAAACCTTAATCATCAATGCATTAATTGGTTCAGTTACTTGACTGAATAAGCTGTGATGTTTAGAATATGAAATTAAATATGGTTTGATTGAATCCAGCAAAGAATAGGAGCCATTGTTTTAAAGAAGTTGAACCTGATCTTAGCTTTGACCAGGCAATGAATAAAGACAAAAAGTGTAACCTGATAAGGATTATATTATTCATCCTCTAATTAATTTGGCTCCACGTGCTCTTCAGAAGCAGTGCCGCATAAACCGGAGAAGACAGACACCCCACAGTTGTAATTGTTCTGTTTTTTTTTTTTTTTTTTATATGAATTTGGATCTTATAATATTGTGATTATTATTAATCCTATTGTATAACTAAACTTTATATTTATTTTAAACTTCCAAAAATATTACTTCATCCCTTGTTCTTATATACTAAAATAGAGGTTATTGTTATCCAACCCCCAAAGAGATAGTGGAATACATTATGCACCCACTATTAGGAGGTAAATAATTATATCCAGGAGATATACAGTTTAAAAATTGTGGGTACATTTCAATTTTTCAGTTATATAAAGTTATAAAGTAAAGATAAAGTAATTTATATAAATATATATAAAATGAGAGCTAAATCCACTAAGGGTCCATAGCTCAGTGGTAGAGCATTTGACTGCAGATCAAGAGGTCACCGGTTCGAACCCGGTTGGGCCCTTTTTTTAATTACTAATTTTTTTTTGCCATTAAAATATAAATTACACCTTTAACATTTACAATTTTCTTTCTATCTAAAACTTTTGTTTTTTGTTTTTAGCAACTGAGGTATCCGAGCACAGTTTCCAGTCGAGCCTGTTTAATCCCTAGAATTACGAAACACTTTACAAGATCAATAGACCAAGGTAATTGTACAAATATGATGAATATCTCTCCGATTACTCGAACACGAGAAACTTTTTACAACCCAAATACTGAAAGTCAACAAATTCATACAATGGTAGAAAATGAAAATGTATAAAATCCAACCACAATAAACAAAAGAAAGCCCACTAAGCACAAGCAGGACAAAGAGCTAACCCATTCTCATTACACTTCCCACACCTCTCTTTTACTCCATCCACCACAACCTTACAGCTTCCACCACATTCCAAACACGGCACAAACCTCGCCCCTCCACACCCTTCACACGCTTGTCTCCCTATTCCTGTTTCCAAACGCCCCGCTCTCACTATCCTCCCCAGTTTCCCTGTCTCGTTCAACTCACTCAACTCTTCCACTCCTCCCACGTATCTCCCCTTCATGAATACCCTCGGTACGCTCGCTTCTTCTTCTCCCAATAACTCCCTCAGCTCCTTCAAGAACTCTCCGTGCAACGACACGTCTCTCTCGTCCGTCACCACGCGGTGCACCTCGAATATGTTCAGCACGCGCGCGCAGTCCTCGAATGTGCGGCGGACTCCTCTCAACGACGTCGTGTATACCACCACTGAGTCTGCTCCGCCTGGTGGACACTTCTCTGGGAAGTCGCTTAATGGGTCTCGTCGGAGCTTTTCGAAAATTGCTTGCTTGCCTTCTTTTTCTTTCTCGAGTCTGTCTTTGAGGATGAATATGTTCTCTTTCACTGGCTTATACCCTCCTCCTCCAATTTCAACTCGTGGCTCGGACTTGTTTGGCTCGTTATTAATCTTGTTGAGCTCGGGCTTTTTTTTGTTCGTCTCTTCTGTACGCATGGACTGAGTTTTTTTCAGTTCTTTATTAGCTGGCTTTGACGATATCTTCTCGTCGAACTCTTCAAGTGTGTGAAAAGATGCGCTCTTTCGCGGTGGGGTTGGCCTTTGCATGGCGGTTTTAACGGGCGGAGCCGGTTTAGTTGGTGACTTGGCAGTGGTATCATTATTAATGGTGGGCTTTAGGTCTTCTAGAGCTTTGCTAACCTCGTCCCACGAATGAGGAGCATCAGTTTCGAACTTGTTGAGCTTCTCGAGAATTGAAGCAGGCACGTGCGTGGGTTTCTCTTGGTTTTCTTGAGATTTATCATTGTCCCCCGTCAGCCATGGCTCTTGTATGGCGTTGATATCAAACACAGCAAAACTGGCGGGAGCTGGACGGTAGACATCAACGCCGGTAGCCGCCTCAATTCGTTTTGATGATGCACAGCCCATTTCGTGGCCCCTAAGGCTTTAGAATGTGTTGAGCTTCGAGTGTTTTGAGAAGAGGCTTAATTGATGGCGCATGCGAGAGATTTGGTGGCAGTGATAAAGAGGTTTATCCCGTTAGCGATTAAGTTTTAAGCCTTAGATTCACGTGTGGTGCTCAGCTTCGCCAGGTGGACTTGAAGAATGTCTTCAAGTTACGAGTGGCTGTTTATTAGTTTCGAGCATGGGGGCTTTGTCATATATTTATTCAGACAAAAATTTGGTTGTGTGGATTAGGATAATTTAGGTTAACTAAATAAGAAATTAATTTCAGTGCAATAATCGCATTGGCCTATGTTGTGTGCGAATTTGCCGCAAGCTCGGAAGGTCCAATAACTCGAACACATCAATATCGATTCGATCTTAAGCTCACGAGAAGATATAGCTCAATCTATAACGAGCTTGTTGCGATCAATTTTGATAGTTGTTCGATGGATAAGAGAATAAGCTTTATTCTCTGATATTTCGAAGGAAATAGTATCAACATTGATTACAGTACGACCTTAGTGCACAATTGTGGAAATCACGGGATGCATACCAAGTCTTATTACAATCTTAGATTTATCTCTCTTTCCTTTGTAAAAATATGTGTATAAATACCCCCAAAAACAATGCAAAAAAGGGTTAGAAATTGTTTTAGACAAAGGCATATTATTTGTAACTCACAAAATCAATAAGATAAATAGTGGACATAGGTTTGAGATATAGCTCGCCTAACGACTTTAAAAATTCTTCTATGTTCATTTTTTCAATTCTTTTACTGTTTATTACTGATTCTAATAATCACGTATTCATCTATTCTGATTTCGTTAGGGTTAATTGGATCTATCTACTTGTTGCAGTTTTCTGTAGCAACAGCCTAGAATCATTGAATAAATGAAATCAAGATTTTGGTAGAGCACACTTACAGTAACTAAAGAGAAAGAAGGATAGAAGTAGAAATGTTGAAGGGTGGTTGGAGGATCGGCCGAACTTTGAGCACGATTTCATGGGCTTAATTGGACTTAATTGATGCTGAATTTACCTAGCTCCCAAGAACATGAATAGTTGTGGAACATGTACAAATTTTGTCCATATTTTGGGCTCAACTTCAAAATTCAAAAGAATCCCGAATTTTAGGTTTTCAGTTGGTTTGGTTTAGCAGGGAATCCAGCACAGAGTAAAATGCATAGCCCCTAGCCCTGAAATTTGAACTGCTCTGTTTCTAGTATGTCGTTTTCTAGTATTTTTAATCCAATTATTTTATTCTTCTCCCTTGGATTATTATCAGTTTTTCTTAATTCACCCTTGCAACGGTCTATTATCACATGGCGCCGATTAAATTTTCGATATAATGCATCACCCTAATGTCTCTTCTGACACACCGCAATTGTCTCTCCACTATATTTTGCCAAAGATTCTGCAGTTTATATACAGCTTAAGAGCTTGTAACAATCAGCAAAAATTTCGTAATGGGTAATTGTTCTTTCAAAGGGATAGCTGATGGCTTCCCAAACAGCATCCGGGTTTTAACCGATTCCGGGACTATACTTGAGTTGAAGAGCCCGAAACTAGCTAGAGAAGTTCTTGAAAACTATCCAGGCTATGGCGTTTTCCCTCGAGGCCATGCCTCATCACCATTGGCTGTTCATGAACGCCTCGTTAGCGGCCAATTTTACTATCTTCTTCCCCTGGAAAAGCAGCAAAAACAACAGGTACAGGTAGCTGAGAAACTAGACCTCAAATGGGTGGAGCAGATGGAGCCACCGAAGATGTCTTCTGCAGATTTTGTTGACAGTTTGGCAAGTGGGTCAGCTTTTGAAGTGCTGCCATCGCAAGGAAATGGTGTTTGGAAAGTGAAGTTGGTGATCAGTACAAAGCAGTTGGAGGAAATTTTCTCGGAAGAGGTTAACACAGAGGCCTTGATTGAGAAAATGAGAATGGCTGCTAGCTCAGCTAGCCTCACGCCCAGGCGGACCAAGAACTCTTGGGTGGTGGGCTGGAGGAAGCCAGCACTTTTCAATGTGTTCAAGGTGCCCACTGAGACTGGGAAATAAGGCTCTTTAAGCCGCCAGGTTATCGCAATCTTAGCTATGGATTAACGAAGGCATTTTCCAACTCTTCACAGCGATTTGGTCAATTTGACCAGGCATTATGTATATATGTAGAAAGGAAAGGAAGGAAAATGGGGATTGCCGTGCTTGGCTTTTAGTTTTCTTTAGAATTATGTATAATAATTCTATTAAGGGTATTGTTTCTCCTTTTGAAACAATTAAGTTTTTCAACACTCTGCGGACTTTAATTCTAATTCTAATTCTAATGTTTAATTTATGTTTGTGGAGTCTATTCAATCTATCTATAAGCAGTACTAAAGGGTTTCCATGTCTAGCTGTTAACATAAATCACATAGCAAATTGTAAGTCTTAATACATGCTTGCACTGATCAGAATCCATATCAGTTCTAACAGGCGATGATCTGCCACCCAACGATGAGTGGTGATAAAAACGATCTCCAGTCGCAAAAAGATTCATAAGGAACCCCGAGTAGTGCCATACTACTTAATTACAACCCAGGGTTAATGGAGCTTTGAAAGTACATATTCAAAAGGGACATTCGGAATACTGATTCCCGGATGATCTCTCTCACATGATCCTTGATTCCATCTTCTTGACAGCTTTCTCTATAGCAGGTACATTCTTCTTGAAGACCGACCATTGTTCCTCAGTCAAGGACATCCCTGAGGTACAACAATGAAATTTCAAACTTAGAAAATCATAACATACTATTACATTAATCATATTACTTTCACTCATTGTTTACCAAAACAACCGCAAATTATCCAGATGATGAAATGCGGCTTCCAAGAGAAATGAAAAATACAAGCTCCACCGATCTAGCAGTTAGTAAAGGGAGTTGGTATAACTATATCAATTTTTTGATACCAACAAATATATATGTACCTTAAGAATGAAAGTCTATAATTGAAATTACATGTTTAATAGCATTTGAAACAATGTACATCGTCCTGAAATCAATAGGATATACAAACTTCACAGAACTCAAGTAGGGTTAGCCAAAATCATAGAAATTGCTAATAGACTGCTTTAGAAAACAAAGTTACATTGCAAGGCTTCCATCATGCTAAAGGAATGTAAATGAAGTAATTTTATCTAGTTTCCCCAAAAAATAGAGTATTATAAAGTCTCGGGGAAGAAACAAAATCAATTTTGCACACATTAACTTTATCAAATTTTTTTGGAGAAAGTGTAAATTAGCTTATGCAATTTAGCTCACAGGAACAACAGTACTATTCTTTTAAATAGAAGATACAGGACCATTAGTGAACAGAATCCACTGTAAAACACAGCACTTAGTAAAGTTGAACTGAACTTGAACAATCCCTCATTTTTCTTCAAATAAAATCATGGTTAGAACATAAACCACCGCACAGCACCCAATGAACACATCTTAGAAATCAATCAAAAACTTAGAAAAAAGCCATCAAATCAGTATCCAAAAGACGAGTAACAATATTTAGGAATTCTATGTGTCTCATGTAAATGCTCTATTTACTCCAATAAAAAATAGTAAGGAAGAAACTTGTCAAAGCACTCTCAAACTCCCAAGGTCTTCACAGGGCTATAAGCTTTATAGTCATAAAACCTCTACACTAAACAAGGTAAAGATTAAGAGCTGACAGGATGCTCTGTTAGACATAAGCAGCACATCACAAGTAGAATTCCTTAGGAACTTGAGATAATACCGCCACTTTAATCTCTGTCGATGACTTAAGAACAATGAATTGTTAAGCAGATGAAAATAGATAAATGATCCCAGAAATTCACAAAAGAAAATCATATCATTCCTAACTGTGCAATGAACTAGTGTCATTGACCTTGTTCACCACTTATAAGTTTCAAAGGTTGCAAAATCAATGCATCCGGTTCCAGAATAAACAACATTTTTCCTTTCAACTTTCTCCTAATCATGTAAAGCTCAAGTATGGTCAACATGTAACAGCCAATCTATCCAAACACTCAAACCCATTAACTAACAATAATGAACTCTAATAATAATCTAAAAGTTGCCAGTAATTTTTGTTTTTTCCACCTAATTGGGTTCCTACATTTCCTTCTCCAATAACTCAGCAAAACAAATACCTAACCAAAAGTAAAAGAAGAGAAACAGAACAAATCAGAAATGACAAACCTTTAGCAGTAGGAAGTTCTTTGCCATCTTTCTTATAATACTCCCTTATCGAAACCAAAGTCTTCCCTCTGAAATCTTGAATCGTTACCCTCCTCTTATCAGATAGCTACATCGAAAACATAAACATTTTAAATACAAAATAAAAAAAAATTTTTTTAAATTCCAAAAAAAAAAATAATAAAACTTAAAAAAAAAATAAATAAACCAACCTTGCAAACAATGAGATTACCCTCATCATCGTACTCCTCGTCCAAATTCTTAGCTTCTTGTTCTTCTTCTTCATGGTCTTGGTCTTGGTCTTTTCTTGACTTTTCTTCTTGTTCTTCAAGGAAGGAGTTCACCACGTTTCTAACAAAAGCCTTGTACTCTGGTTGAGAAAGGTCCAACCCCATCTTCTCGGAGGCTTGTTTTCGAATCTGGTATTCTGTCGTTTCACTCATGTCTGAACGTTCCAGGATTTTTCGTACCGTCTCTTCGATTTTCTCTTTCATTTCTGTTTCCATCTTTTGGGGTTTCTCTCGGTAAGAAATTTGCTGTTTAGCACTCTGCAGCAGTAGCCGAGTCGATCACCTACGGAAAGGTGTATTGTAAAGTTTTAACGTGTCATAGTAGTATTAGTCCACGTAGATAGATGAAGAACCTATTTTGCCATGGTGCAGAAATGTTTAGGAAAGTTTCAAAAGTTACTTTATTTTTTTATTCAATCAAATAGCACAGACTAGCTTAAACACATCTCGACTAATCTATCAAAAACATTAGCGCAATAACCCACTATTATAACCCTTTTAAATGGATTAGAATTTAATACTGTGTCTATCGAAACCCACTACTATAACCCTCTTAAATCTTAAGAGTTAAGGGAATCGAATATGATACTGTACGTCTTAACCATCTAACACTTGTCCTACCATTCGAGTTCACACTAGCCCTACCACTTGACATCCCAACACTTATCTGAGACTTATGCGCACATTTCAACAACACTAGTCCTATCACTTTAAAGACATCCAACACTCATCCTTCGACCTAGGCATTTGAGACAAATCCCAAAAAATTGGTCTAAAAAATCGGTCTTACGAAACCTGGTCCCAAACCCAAACCAAGCCCATGGAGGAGGGACCGGTCCCTAGATCAGACCCTCCTCCAAGGCTAGAGCCTGGGATCAGTCCCAAGCCCAGGCCCCAACCCATTTGCATTTTTTCAAAAAACTCCTCAAAAAATTATCTAAAAGCCCTTTATAATTTTAAATTAACAAAAACATTAAAGGTTAAATTGATATTTTATAAAATTTACTAATATGGAAGGTGTAAAAAATTTTCCAGCCCCTAAAAATTACATAAACTCCCTTACATAAATTTTTTAAAAATATAAAAAAAAAGTTGGGGGGCAGAACAAAATTTTCCAAGCCACAGGTCTTATGGGCCCAAGACCGGTCCTAAGGACCAGCCTGAGTCCTAAAATTTCTCGGTTTGGAACCAGTCCAAGATGCATGAGTGACTAATCCTATTGGGACCAGTCCCAATCGGGCCCAGGCTCGGACCCGGTTGGGACCGGTCCTTGCCCAGGTCTAGACCGAGTCATCCTATTCCACTATCATAGACGGATTTTCATCATCAAAGAGGTTTCTCCTTGAATACTGAATATAGGGAAGGAAAGATCTACGATTTTTAAGTTTCATTGCCGATGATTTATTATGGGATTGAAATTCTAACTGCCTTAGGGGAGACTGTTATTGAGTGAATGAAAATGAAGAACTCTATTGCGGAAAATCCCATTTTATTGATTGTTGGCAGAGTCTATAGATACAGCTCAATTTCGAATTAGCTCAAAGGAAAAAAAAAATATTTAATTGGAAGTGTTTCAACTACTAAATCAACATTTCTCAAGCTTCAACAACTATATTTGCAACACTATAACAAAGGAACTAGCACATCTTCATCTTCATCTTCAATCAACCAGGAACTCGCTTTAGCCTGCATTCAAAATCAGGAACAACCCGATTAACTTTTGTAGCAAAAAAATTAGACGCTCAATGCTGCTAAATCATTCAAACACAACCCATCAGTATATAATCCAGAAAATCTTAACCAATCCAATTCCTTTCAATTTTCTCCAAGAAAAGAATCTAAATTAAAGTGAAACTTGATACCTGTTCATTTCATGGGTTTTTCACTTATTCTGGGTTTGGATTTTTCCTGTATGAGGAAATCTCCGACATATCTACTCACTAGCTTCTTATACGAAGGTTGGTTGAGGTCGAGATTAAGGTCGGACGAGGCTTTTTCGCGTACCGATTTCTCGTTCAACACGTACAAGTTTGCTCCTTCTCCTTGGAGTATATTTTTCACGCTTTTCTTGATTTTTCTTCTCGTTTCCTTATCGATTTCTGCTTCCATTTTCCTACGTCTTGCTTCTCCCTTCTCTCTTCTTCCTCTTCTCAGTCCCCAGAGACTGCGGCGACAGAATTCAGCGTTTAGGGTTCTAATTTGTATTCGATATTTATAACTTATATAAAATCTTTTACTAGCTCATTTTAAAATTCGTCTAAATATTAAATAATTTTCTATTCTTTATAAAAGTCAAATATTTCCTTGACCAAAAGTTAAAAAAGTTCTAAGTCTACAATAAGTAGATGTTGCATAATTTGCATTTGTTTCTTATCGCCAATTTGGTAGATGGTTATGGTGTATATATATGGTCAGACTTCATATTTTTTAACGAATTTATCTAAGTATTACTTCATGGGTCGTTAATGTTCTCGCTTATAGCACCAATTCCGTCTCTTATTCAACCGGTATGGCTCGAAGCTTTGAGAATGATAACATCAATAAACAGAGTTCCGGGACGAGACGAGATGAAGGAAAGAAAAACAGACTTTTCGGTTTCTCCGCATCGATTCCGGTTCCTCTGGTTCCGTTGCTCGTCGATAAACAAAATGTTGTGGTGGGTTCTACTTAAACCGCATGGCGAATCTTTGTAATATTGAAGATAGTTTTGACCCAGTTAATTTGTAATTCCAATATGACCAAAATCCAAAGTTTTTCATACAGTATAGGATTGTAAAAAGCAAATATGAAGAATCATGAATAATACAGACAAGAAATACTTCATTTTCTTGATGAAAATGAAAAACTTGGAAGAAATCTATACTTATCACCCTCCAACAGAGCAACCGGGCTTAAAATTTTTGAGAAAATCAATTCAGAGAGGCTTATAGCATCTCTTCCACTGAAGCTTACTTCTTGAATTTCCCTGGACCTTGTTTCTTGCTGCAAGAGTACAATATAAATATATCAGCTCAGCGTTGTTAATTCAGTAAAATATTAACTGGAGATTTAGAAAAGCATGACAGAAAAAAAGGTCAATCAGCAAATGAAGTAATACGATTTCATGTGGGCACAACCCTTTGAAAGGAAAAAGATGAAAATTAAACAATTTGGTGGACAAAATACCAGCAGCTAAGACAACAAAAGTGGTACTAAACTGTTAAACCAGTAATATATAAGCACCCCTTAGCCTTAATTATCCAGACATCCTACTTCCTAGTTTTTACTGGTTCAAACAGCAGGACAAATGTACACCAACACTATAAGAAGAGAGACAGTAATGAAGCATCAGCTATTACAAAGGAGTGCATTGGAAATGTCTTTGTTAATGATAAAGAGTGATTTGAACGTAAAATTCCTAGCTAAAATTCTGGAAACTGAAATCCAAAAGTATAAGCCAACTAATCTTTGATACTGGATTACACAAAGCTGACATGGAACTTAATGTAATACTCCATATTGAACTCAGCCAAAGTTGGATTCACCAACAGACACAGGCAACCAGGGATAAAAAAGTGAAGGTCTTTTCTTTACTAATTCTTTTGGCATCAAACCAATTGCATAACACATCATTTTTCCTATCGTTGCACGCCTATGTAATGTACACCAAGGCCCTGCAAAGTAAGGGCAAGGAGTTTCCGGTGACGATGCTTCTGAATCAAACTATGTCATTAGAAGTTAAGCTTAGTCCTGCCTCACAGGCCACAGCAAGATTCAAGAATCCTCACCATGTTAATGCATTCTTTTTAGTTGCAAAGTCATCAAAATGGCACTACATACAAATTTAAATGAAACTAGGAATGAAATTACCTTGACTCAACCTCACTGCTGGGACTCACAGGAGGTCTTCTTTCCCCCCTTCCAAAGGCAACCTCATCCATGCTTTGCCCTTGTCGCCGATACCGACCACCAGACGCCAGAAATCCAGGACAAGGCCTGTAAGCCTTTATTGGCCACCAACCAAACCCTGGAACTGTTGCAATGCCACCTTGAATCCTTCCCTCACCATTGCATCCCCTCTCCATTTCCTCTCTGCCACATGCCTTACAACCACTGTCCAAAAGTTTGTTTACAAAATTATAAATTAAACTAAGTTCTTATCCATAAAGTCTTCCCAGAACCAATAATCTCAAAGGTGTAATTTCTTCAAAAATAAATTTATACAAACCCATGTGAGATGATGTGATTAGAGGGGTGAAAAGTAAAAATGAAGCTAAAAAATTGAAACAAATAACTAAGGCTCTCAAATTTGTTACTAACTAGTGAGATTTTAACCAGAACAGTATCCGCTGTAAATTAGAGAAAGAAAAAGGGTGTTTACCTGGAAGGAAGCTTGTCAGGTTCGTTAGCGGCAGAATCTGATTGGACGGGAACTGGATCAGGTGATGGAGTATAGGGATTATCTTCTACAACAGAAACTGAAGAAGAAGAAGAAGAAGAAGAAGAAGAAGAAGAGGAGAGAAGGATTGAGGTTGAAGGCTTGAAAGGGTATTTGATTGAAGTAAGTGAGGGATGAAATAATGAGTTAGTGACAGTGATGGAAGGGCGTTGAGTTTGATGAGGCGTTGGCACTGAGAGAAGGGCTGTTGCAGCCATTCTCTTCTTCCTCCTCCTCCTCCTCAGGGTTGTGTTCAAAATACAGGGAATGGATAACAGCCACTAACTACCTTTTGTATTTTGTTGTTTCAAATGTAAAGCTAAACTTTAGATGAGATTCATGTTCCGTATTCATAGTCGTTCTCATTCTAAATCCGAAGACGACATGTCGGATTCATAGTCCAATGTCCTGACCACTGTTTTAAAACCCGGACCGGAGGGCAACCCGCTCTGTTACCTGGGTCATGGGTCAACCAGTTCAACCGGTTGATGACGTGCATGATGATGTCAACACATAAAAAAAACCTGTTTTGTTTTATTTTATTTTAAGATTTTCATTTTTTAATAAGACAATAATAACTTAATTATTGTCCAACATGATTCAAAGTTCAAATTCAATAACAATCCCAACATAACTTAAGTATTTAATAACAATCCAAAGTCCAAATCCAAACATGATGTTGTATTCATTCATTACATATTAAATGACAAAATATATAATAATTAGTAACAAAACATTTGGAGCAAGTGTTTTTTCTTTGATCCGTGTCCATGTTGATTGGGCTTCACACACTAGTATCAAAATTCATCACCATCATCACCATCATAACCATCACCATCATCTACGTAAATTTCAGTAAAAAATAGAAATCATAAGTTAAAACTTGTAATTTAATTTTAAATAGATACTAAGTTACTTAAATATTTGAAACTAACCTTCTGAACCATCGGTTGAATCATAAAAAGAAGGGCGATCAGCAGCTCCAGCATGAATAGATCCTTCTCCATATAACATTTGTTCCAACTCCTCATAATTAAGTTCACTAACCTTCTCTTCATCGTCAACTATCCAGCCTTCAGTTTTGTTGATACTTTCATAATCAATAGGATCGAAACTTATTCTCTTGTAACACCTCCTAAAATACCATAATGAAATATTAAAAGCATGACAAGTAAAATATCAAGGAAAATAATAGATAATAACAATAAGAGTGATGCATAATTGAGTAATTAACAATGTTTTATATATGTTTTGCAAATGCAAGTTATAGTGAACAAAAACAAGATCATTCAACCTTTGATGTTCCAATCTATTCCTTTTTTTAGTATGTATGCGCTCAAAAACACTCAAATTTCGTTCACATCCTGAAGGGCTTGAAATTTGGCTAAGAATTTTTATTGCAAACTTTTACAAATTTGGAGTACTATACCTAAATGATCTCCACCATTCATCTAATTGAAAATTAAACATAATAAATAAATTAGACTTCAAAAACAAAAGCACTCATAAATTTTATAACTATTACATACCAGGACGTGTGGTTTTGGCGGTTTCAAGAGCAAGCCCACGAGAAAAGCTTCCCTCCCGGTTTGAATATAATATACTCTCTTCCACTAACCTTGTCTTGTTCAAATTGAACGCACTTGCTTTACTGTCAATAGTATCAAGGAAACCACTCATGACTTCTGGCTTGGAGCAAAAAGATGCTTCGTCATATTTAAAGGCAGGATTCAAATAATAAGCCGCAGCATGGATATCACGGTGCAACGTCTTATCCCAACGTAGCTTAATGATTCGTGTATAAGGCTTGTACAATCTCTTTTTATTCTTAAACAACTTCTTAATTGCATTTTTCACTCTGTACATGTCATCATACACATATCCTATTGTAGGCTTCTCATTTGAGTCAACAATCCGCAACAAGCGCATCAATGGACTCACAACTTTGGATATCTTACCCATATCATCCCAAAAATCTTTATCTAGAATTATGTCAATAACATGTTTGCGTTTATTACTTTTTGCATATCGAGAATCTACAAATGACTTATTTGTCACTATGGCTTGCAAGTCGTGTTTTTGCTCATGAAAGTTTCTCATTGCAATGAAAGTTGTAGCAAAACGGGTTGCGCAAGGACAAACAATTTCTTTCCAACCATGTTCAATTGATAAATAATAGATGTTAGTCAATTATAAAAAATGCATATTATGTTATGACTTGACAAGAACATGAACTAAATGTATATTACCAGTCTTTTTCTCAACCAAGCTATTATGATTATATACAAACTTTGTCACCTTAGAAGCACGTCTCGCAAGATAAACTATGTGATCCATCTCAGTTATGTCTTTTAACACCAAATTTATGCTATGTGCTGCACAAGGTGACCAAGTAATACTCGGATATTTCTCAGACAACATTCTTCCAGCAGCTTTATAATTGGATCCATTGTCTGAGACAAAATGGACAATACTATTTGATCCAATCCATAAAACGACCTCTTCAAACATTTTCAACAATGTCCCAGCATCCTTCATAACATCTGAAGCATCAATTGATTTCACAAAACAAACTCTCTTAGGACAACACACCATAAAATTGATCAATGACTTATGTAAATTATCAGTCCAACCATCAGCTATTAAAGTACATCCAACATTTTCCCAAATCTTTTTGTAACTATCAACAAGAAGTTGCACTTCATTCTTTGCATCTCTTAACAAATTGACATGCAAACCATGATAATTTGGGCGTTTATACCCAGGCCCAATTGCAGCTATAACATCCACCAAAGGCTGAAGATAAATTGAATTTACAGCACTAATTGGGATGCAAGCATCGTAAAAGAATCTTGCAAAAGTCATGTCTGCTCTCCACGTCGCATCTTTTCCAGCTAAACAACTCCTAATTGATGGTTAAGATCCACCAATTGTCCTTGGAGCAAAATAGTCACCAACCCCAATAGATTTTTTTATTTTTGATTTGCCTAGCATTGTACTTTGTTTTTTACTGCCAAACCTACTTCATTTATGTGAATTTCTGATGGATGAAACCCTTCACTATCTTCATTAACATATCTCCCTCAAATCCATGTACGGGAGCACCGTAGGGAGTATTATACTTATTATAATTAGCCTTCTCTTTATTCTTTATCCCAATGTCTTTTAGTGATTCTCTTATCAAGTATTGAACATCAAAAGGAACTTTTAAACAAACACCAACATCCCCATTTGTTTCAGCTAGATGTTGTTTCATTCTAAAAATACCTCCTCCCACAGTGAAGACATTTTAATGTCTTCCTTCCATTTGGATTTACACCCTCAATAACATGTGCCCATGTTATATCAGTTCTACCTCTATTAGATTGTGAAGAAGACCAACAGCCAAATGTTGACATTGTTTATTTTTAATCTTTATCTACCTTTCACACAAGAAATAATAACAATTTAGTATGTCTTTCTTAAGTCTGTTAATATATATCTAATATTATTACACTTGATAACTTGTAGGTGAGAGATGAACTTGAACATTTGCTGGACAATGACAATGATATGGCTGATTTCAAAGCTATGATACAATGAGAAAAACAGAGAAAACAAAACAATTTACTAAAGACAGTTCTGAAAAGTGTGGCTGAGTTTGTTTATAGTTGAAGTTCAATTTTTACTTTTTATACAATTTGTTCTGTGATTTAAGGAATGTAAGAACTAAATTGTCACTGACTAATCCAAATATATTGAAAAATAAAAATACAAGTTCCTATAGATAATTAGATTGAAATTTTAGTTTAGTTTATTGTCACTGACTATATTCAGTAAGCATTTCTTGTCAGTCAAATAGCAGCAATGCAAGTTCAAGTTCTTTTATGTTTCCCATGTAAGTTCCTAATTTACCGATACCTCATTGTTCTCTTGATAAGACAATGACTTAGTTTTCTCATACTTGGGCTTTGACTTGAACAGATTACCCTCAGATTGGAGTGGCAGCCCAGTGAGAATGGCGAAAGCTGACAGAAGACAATTGAGAAAGCAAAGAAGCTGGAAGATGTGTTTTCTATGTAGGAAATTCTAAGTGCAATATGTTCCCTTCTTGGTTATTTAGTTGTATAATTGATTCTTTCTTTTGCTTCAGCTTCGGTGTTGGAATGTACAGTGAAAAGGATCAACAATATCATTTCATGTTCTGATACAAAATATATATATATATATATATATATTAAAGAAATAACAAGAATTACTCCACCATAAAGCTTCAGTATTTGCATCATTATGCTGCCAAATTGTTTCCTTAAAAGAAGTTTAAGAACAACTTGAATTGCTTCACCATTCAAATGAATACCAAGTCCCCACAACTCAACACTCCACTGACCACCAAAGACCGAAAAGATTCAACGCACAAGCCTACTTTACTTTGATATATTATGATAAATGCATTAATAAAACAAGTTGAAAAACGAAATGGAGCTGTCATGAATGGTGTGTTTTTTAACTGGATCATTAATGAGAGGAGGAATGGAGCTGTCGTCATCCGGTCGTCGTCGTCATCCAGGAATGGAGCTATTATCGTCGATTTCCACCAAGGAATGGAGGCTGTCGTCGTCGATTTCCAGTGAGGGAGGAAGGCATCATTGCTATTTCAGAGAGTTGATTTGCGATCGATTTCAGCAAGGAATGGTTGCGATTTCAGACTTCAGAGCGTGAAGTTCATTGAGATTGAGTGGCGATTTGTGTGGGATTTCAGATTTTCAGCATGGTGTTAAAAATTTTTTAGAGGATTTTGCGTAGAGGAAGGAGAAAGTGAGAAATTAGGGATTTTTTCCCCTTTTTAGATGTTGGACTGGTTTTTCAAGCAGTCTGGTTGGACCAGCGGTTCACAATGTTCGCGCGGTTCACACTGTTCGTGCGGTTCATTGGTGGTTCATAGCGGATTATTGAGTAATACCAGGTTTTATATTGATTCAAACCAAACACATGATCGGGTCTTGGTCTAACCACTTAGATCGACCAATCCAGTCCAGTTTTTAAAACCATGGTCTAGTGGTTAGGACCATGGAGCCTTGTGAGTTGTGATGTTATGTTTTACTTCTGTTAATTGACAATATTTAACATAGTTGGTTAAACATCATTATCCATAATCCCACCCTTAAATTTTCGCAAAATACCCTTTTTAACAGACATTAACAGTGATTAAGGATCCGTTTAGTACGACTTATTCAAGCTTAAGGAAAAGGAGCTTATTAGAATAGAGTTTTTATGAAAAATTTTGTTTGTTGTCTGACTAGAAAAATGTAAAAAAGTTTTATAATATTAATTTATCAAACATGGTTTTAATATTCAACAATAGACTAAGAAGAAATTTAAAAGATTGAATAAAAATATTTTTGAAATTTAAACATTTTTAATAAACTTAAAAATAGCTTTTTTATAACCTTATAAGCACTTTTAAAATATAACCACATAATATATAAAAAAAAAAAAAAATTCAAAATTGCTTATATGATTTGGAAAGAAGCTCTTTCGGCCAATAAATATTAAATAAGTCCAGTCAAACAAGCTCCAAAGTCTAAATCAATATGTTTGTAAAATAAGGTTCGATTTGAACCATCCAAACAGTTAACAGTTAAAATTCTTCAAAGCAATTCATGCAGAGGGAAAAGGTCTGTCTCTTGCTGAAAAGAAATTGCAGCAGCACTAGGAAAAGATACCTGACAGCTTTGCAGGCTTCGCAGGAGTTAACATTCTGATGAGGCAGCATTCCCCAAATCCCAATCAAGTAAAATCATACATACAAACTACTTCGTAAATATTTTTTTTTTTTTTTTTTTTTTTTAACAATCTGAGAGTGCATATGACAACTGAGACATAATGTTAAGCGCATAGACAACTACCATCCATTTTTCAGAAATTTCACCTTTCAATATATCCAGACCTGCCTCCAAAACTAGCAAAGAGCATCCCAAGGGTTTCATTTGCCCTTTCAATCTTTGAAAATTCAATCACTTGAATTGTGGCTAAATTTGGAATCATTGGTCATGTATTTACCCATGCAAAAAATTTATGTGAAAAATTACAAAATGAAAATAATGGAAACTATAAAGCAAAGAATAGAGAAGGAAATGCGACAAAAAGGACCTCTTCTACCACAAGACAACCAAAAATGGAGGTTGGAAAAGCTAAAAGGACCTTCCAATGAAATCATAGAGAAATTCAAGCAACTTACTCATGCTAATAAATATCTCACTATTTCTGTATCTAGTATATCAAAGTTATCATTGGTATCATCTTCTTTTTTCTCTTTACGCATGCACAACTTGTTGATCCACCTCTCCATCAATGAGCATCACTGAACTGTGATGGTGCACCATGTACCACCGTCCATTATGAAACTCAAACACATTAGTCATGTTAAATGGTCCTGCGTCGATGTCTATGTAGGTTTTCATTGTAACCCAAGCCATGTCTGTCAGAACCCGAGCCTTTACATCCTGAACCTGAAAATCAACCCCTTGTTCCCAATTAAATGCAAGCTGCCAACTCTGAATCACAGAGTTATACCTGGAAATGAAGAAAAATGAAAAAAACAGATGACCCCCTCCTGTTTAATGTAAACGAAACGTGCGAACAGTAAACTCAATTCAGAAGACAGCAGATGCCAATTTAAAAACTTGAGAGTGCAACTGCAATAACTAGTAACATTTTAACAATTGTTCTACAAAAATAAACTCCTTCATGGACAATATTTTCTTTAGAAGGGGGAAAAAGATCCTTCAGACTACCCAACCAAGTATCTGGAGAAATCCTAACACATCAAAGCACAAGTAATCATGAGTTCAAGCCATGTTATCATACTTTAGAAATTTAAATGTTTTTTCAAGGTATATTCTTTTCATGTTCTAATTTCCCCCAAGAAAGAAAAAAAAAAAAAAAAAAAAGGAGAGAGAGAGAGAGAGAGTTCCCTCTACTACAGCCTCTTATTTCCCAAGCCTACAATTGAATATAATACAACTTGTATAACCTGCGCTTCAATAGTACATTTACTGTGTTTCCCTTTCAACTCATATTAATCACGCATGATAGGCATCACAAACATGATCAAATAAGATGTAAAACTAGTAATCTTTGCAGTGTTATTCTTCCTACTTCATAATGCTTATCAATTTTGGGCAAGATAAAGTGTTCATCTTTTCACTTCATTATTCATTTCTCTATTCAACATCTTTTCCTGCATATGCATGTGCTCATATAAGTCTTTTATATCAGCATCCAACACTCATGAAGCAAATGCTTCTTCACAACCACAATATGCATGTGTATCTTCAAAAGGCTTCTAAAGTTAGAAAGGGTTTAGATAGTGTCACCATTTTCCCCCTATGGTCAACATTTGGAACTCATGCAAATATCCAGTTACACAGGGGAACAAGAGCCAAATATAAAATATATAGCGCATGCATAGATTTAAGTGTATTCCTGGTTTTCATAAATATGGATAGTGACTAATTATATCTACATATCTATTATCATAGATATAATCTGATATCATACATATAGAATGTATCACAAATAGGCTCATCATTCATATCTAGCAATCCAATACAAAAACAATAACACAAGTTATAACTTAACAATTTGCAATTAAAATCATAATTTCTGAAATGAGATTAGAGGCATCATACCCTGAAAAAAGTTCCCCTGAGGCATGAATACACTTCACATAATCTGCATTAAGCCAGAAATGACCCATCGCAGGAAGAGACCTCTCTCTGATGATGTTAAAAAATTCTGCATTAACATTAACAATGGCTCTGGTAGCCGCATAATACGCTTTCCAGCCATGGACCGGCATCACACTATCTTGCTCCAATGTAAAATCCTAAGAAACACAGAGAAAAAGAAAGCTTAAAGGACATCTTCCGAATAATCCTTCCGACAGAAGGAATCTCTGAGAACTTGTTGAAGTGGCTCATGTCTGTTCAAGGCTATTTAGGTGAACTAAGTTAACAATAAAAATACAGAGCATATAAAAGTAAACTGCGGCGATTCAATTGAATTTACATGACATAAAACTTAATTAACAAAGGTGTTGAATGATTAAATTACATTACCTTATGATAAAGAGCTTTCCAAGCATTATCATCATTAGCAGCTTTTCTCATCAACGAATTGGTCATGGAAAGCCGACACAAACTCGGATAATCCAAATAACTGAGCGCGTGCGTTGTAATCTCAGGGACCAACTGCTCCATCATCGACGCGCCGCTCCCACGCTCAACCACAACCGCCGGCGCCGGCGCTACCGGCGTACTTCTCTCTATCTCCAACATATCCGACTCCGCAGATTCCAGATGATTATTTCCGACAACACCGTTGCAGGAACACGAGCAGTTACACGGCTTCTTCTTCGCCGACGCGTCAGCACCAGTCTCGTCCGTTGTTTTCGGAGATTTTGTTGATCGGACGGCGAGGAGAGCGAGGAGTAAACACAAAAGTGTAGAAACCGCGACTACAAAAAATTGAGGCGAGAAAAAAGCAGAGGTGATAATCTCCATTCATAAGACATATGAGCTACGAAGAACATGAAACCCTAGGATGTTGTGTTATTCAAAAGCGCTGGGGAGAAAAAAAAAAACAAAAACAGAGAAGGCACTCGTTGTGTCTCCGCTTTTCTTGTTCTCGTTTTAATGGTTTGTTTCCTGAAAACTCTAAAATTGCTGTGATTACTGTTTTGTTCTTGAGAGTGATTTGCAGAAAGAAAATTAAATTAAAAAAAAAAAAAAAAGAAAAAAAAAAGAGAGGGAGGTTTGTAACTCGTGAGTTGTAACTGACAGAGACGAAACTCGAACGTGTGGGTACTGGGTCAAGCTTAAATAGTCACAATGTTTGAGGATAACTACGTAACTTTGAGAACGACGTCGTTTCTCATAGGAAGAAAAATAAATGTGATTAGGTCATTAGTTGAACTTTGATTAATATTTAATTAATTCTACATTAATCATGATTTATATTTGATTTGTTTCATAAATGGGCATTTAAATAAACCTAATATAATGATTACAAGGGGAATTAATGTTGGCAAAATGAATTTGGTAATCAAGGAGAATTTTCATGAATATGGTAACCGGAGATTGAAAGAGGGAGACAGACAGGAGAAGAGTTGGGCACTGTCCAAGAACAAGAAGAAGCAACATGATTCAAAGACATCATAACCACGAAAAAACACATGCTTCATTTATGTTGTTTAAGGTTTAGTCAAAATCTTGCCAACACAATCCTGTAAACTGAGATTCTCTCAAGATCTCCTTCTGTTTACTATTTTTAACAGTAAATTTACCTTTCAAGTAGCTCGCCAATCTGGGTTCAGGCCGGCAGCTTAGAGCTTTTAATATGGAAGACATTTGCAGCAGCAAACTTTCCGAATTGTCAATCAAAGTCTTCTCCCCAAGCTCAATCGTGGATTCTCTGAATGCGGGCTATTGCTTTGCTTTCTTATCAAGGTGTCGTCAGTATGGAAACGGGTCAAAATTCTTGATTTTGCTTTGCTTTGGGAGAAGAGTAAGACAAAAGGAGAAGGGTTTTTTTTTCCCAAATAAAGAATCATCATTCAAGGACAGATCTTACAAGGCTAATATTATTCCTCTGCTCTTCTCAATTAGCTACATCATGACATTCTTTTCAAGTTCTTTGTAATAATTTAACAATTTTTAAGAGCAACAATGATAATTTGCTTCACTTTACGCATTGAAATTCAAGGCAGTAATCTCCATAAGCATAAAAAGACAATCTGCATTCAGCCAGGATAAACAATTTTCTACGAGTTACAGCAGTCAAGTAGAAGAGCCAAACTTTCATTGATCTCAGAGGGTAAAGAAAAATGAACATTTTCTATAACACCAGGTTTCCTGGTTACAGAGAGGCCGAAGCCAGAAGCCGATGAGGGATCTAATTTTCTAAAGTTAAAAGAGAAGAAGAACTAACTAGAGAGTAAGGTAACAAAAATTGTCATGCTGCTGCTAACAAGCATCAAAACCCAACCTCTATAGGTTCTGCATACTTTATCAGACTGAGATGATCCGAAAAATGTTGATACTCGAGCTGAAACCAGCTTCAGAGTTGCTAGCCCTGCAAAGAAAAGACTCACTGATAGTACAGCAAGTTCTGTACTTTCCAGATTGGCTTGATTGTTTATGATTTTTTCAACATCTAATCTGCAAAACATAGAAAGACAGTAAAAAGGCATACAAAATAAGCTGGTAAGTTTACTATCTAGATAGTGACATATTAAAGTATAGAAGGGATTCTAGGATCCACATAACTGGTTCTAGAGCCATTAAAACATGCATAAGAGTAGTGAAAAATCTATCACAATGCCCAGTTCCGATCTGAAACCTCTCAGATGGAGAACAAAATAAACTATTAGTAGATTCTTGAAAAAAGAAAAAGGAATACACTACTAGTATAAAAAACTGGTTTTCAATTCACTACACGGTCTGTGGTAATCACTTATACCCTCTCTGTAAATAAATAGAATCATGTAAAGAATCCTAGCAAAAGCTGAGATGGTAGAACAAGTATTCGTCATGCCACAGATATTGGAGAAAGAAAGTGAGATGTAAGGCTAATTTTGAGTTTGAATTGAGTGAAACCTTGTTTACATTGAAAATATAAGATGGGACTCACTAATTGAATGGTTCAGAATGAAGCATTGGAGCAAATAAACAATCAAGAAATACAACATTTTCATGTTGTCTGTATGATTGCCAAAAAAAGGCCAGGAAATTTGACAGGATAGATAGCAGCTGCTTTGAAAAAGGTGTACAAGGACTGATGATAAAATACACAATAATTTCTAACCTCAACATACTATTTTCTGTGACCAATGCATTCAATCGAGATGAGATATCAGCTTTCCATGCCTCAAGGTCTGATAATTCTTTTTCCTGAAGAATAAGAAAAGGGATAAAAAAAATTAGGTGCTTTCATCAAAGTTCCTTTATCCAAAGAATATAAAAAGAAAAAGACTCAAAAAGAGGTGGAAAAAATACAGTGACATAGTACCACGGTCTCCTTCCAGTTGATGATATCTTGAAGTTCCACTTTGCTTTTCTCCAAAACCAGTGATATTCTCACTAATTCTTTGTCAAGCTCTGGTAAAACATCTTGTTGTCTTCGATTCAGTTCTTTGATATACTCCTCCAGCACAGATAAATTCTGCTCAAGTGACTTCACCTTCTGCATCAAGATCCTCAGAATAGTGTCACCCGGTATTCTGCCAATTGGTTGTTGTCTTACTTCATTCCCAGGATCAGGAATCTTGATCTTGCTTGAAGGATTTGGCACATTTTTATCAAGTTTTTGTCTATCCTCCATGTTTTCTGCCTGCACATCAGCAGTCTTCACCCCATTCTGAATTTTTCCATTTTTTTTACTGTCAGTTGAACCCACTTCTGGTTTCAAAGAAGGAATTTCAGTCGAGTTGGGCTCTGGTGATTTACTGGGTACACTTCCTTCAGAGGCCACAAAGAGATCTTCCAACATACGCTCAATTGCATCGACACCATATACCTCCACCACACTCAGAGTGCAATAAAATTCTGATCCATAATGACTAAGTAAACTTAATTTCAAGTACCTTGCCCATTTGGGTTCAGGCAGCTTAAAGCTTTGAAGTTGCTTGACATTTGCAGCAATGAACTTTCCCAGTGGTGACCAAACTTCTGTTGGGTAACTCAAACTACCAGACAATTCAAATTCCTTGAAATTAGAAGAATAATGCTCAAAATTTGCAATTTTAACATCATCAACCAAAGTCTCCTCTGCAAGCTCAATCACAACAAACTTCTCTGTCACTGAACAAGGGTTTCTCAGATATTTATCATGATTATTCCCCAATATGTTAGTTGCTCCTTTAGCTTCCTTATTATGTGCTACCACCTTTGCACCCTTCTTTGCAGAAGCATAATTGTATTCTGATCCATCGGGATCAAACCGATGTGTGATGTTAACAAGCTGACTATCCATGCCCCAGCCCTTTTCTTGTTTTGTGATGCTCCGGAACTCATCAAAGTTGAGATAAGTGGTGTGAGGCGATTTTCCATCTGATAACTTCGGTTTACTGGCGTTTCGCTCTTCGTACTTTTGTGCTTCACAAACTAAAGCTGCATAACCTAAAAGCTTCCAAAATACTTCTTCTAGTCTACTTGTTTCAGGAAGAGAGACCTTGTAAGTAGCAAATTCCTTATTATGAATGGAGTTGTTACAGTTTGCTGACATATTAGGTTCTAACAGCATTCCATTTGAATAATTATGGCTTCCATTTGTAAAATGTGGATACACAGAGGCAGATTCACAAAACTTTTCATTGCAGACACTATGACAAGGTGTGCCTTCTTTAGCAGCACTTGAATTCCCTGAAAAAAAACATACAGTACAATACTAGTATTTGAGAACAAAGAAACAATTCAACCAAATAACTCACAAAGTAACACGACAAATTTATTTATCACTTCAGATATCTATGAAAGCAATGCATTTCAGCTCACAAAATGTAAACCATACACTGAATTAAAGAACCGTTATAATCCATGATTATAACAAATAAGACACCATTAAAACAGATTTGGCCATACACAGAACTTAATGGAAAAATTAATATTTTTACGCTTCATAAAAATGAGCGCCATGAATGACCAAGTATTGAAACTTTCTTTATGCTTGAACGAGCGCCATCAAAATTGGGTCCCCATATTTTCTGGTGGTGTCGTTTCCAACAGAGAAATTGAATTGAAACTCAACTAAATTTCTTATGATTATTTAATTAACTGAACTATGCATTAAATGATTTTCTGGCCAGTTTTATTTACCACAATATTAAAGGCTACCCCTTAGTTTTCCAGCCATTAAACAGAATTAGAGAAAAATCCATGAGAGAGAGGAAATGGGTTTACTAGAAATTCATAACAAAACACAAAATGGGCAAGAAAAGATAACAATAATAATAAGAAGAAGAAGCACAATAATTTATCAGAAAGCAAGAGAAAATAAAAAAAATGTACCTGAATTATCATGGCTCAGACCAAGTTTAGAGTAGAACAACAACACAAGAAACCAGAAAGAGACTAATAGGGACAATGAGAACTCAAAGAAGCTTCTTTTGTTTTTGTTGTTATCACAGGAGTTGTAAATGTTTCTGTGTTTGTTGGTTTGACATTTGATGATGGCTTCATTTGAACATAAACCATTTTGAGGTTTCTTCATGTTTCATCCACAAGATCAAGAAGCAGGCAGGAAGCAGCTTATGTTTCATGAAAAAGAGAGAGTGAAGGACTGGCCACATAAATTGGAAACAACGTTTTTTTTTTTTTCTTTTTTTGCCTGATTTCGTGAGTATAGTTTTATGTGAAAATATTTGTGGCTAATGGGAACTTTACTTCCCTGTCTTGCCGGAACTCCTTTGTGCCATGTAGAAACCGCTTACTTCGGGATTGCAGTAAAAAAATAAATAAATAAATCACACTGTCAGAGCCAACCCCACTAGTCCCTTCCTTTGGAAGATTAAGTCAATCTACTAATCTAGGTTATTAAAGAGATAATTCAGTCAAGTTTCAGATTCGGAAAACTTCATATTTCTGTTCAACAAATACCTCATATTTACCCAACAAATTTACCCATCTTTTAAAAGGAACTTGATATTATATTTTTCCCTTTTAATTGGTGAACTGCATTCTAGAACAATAAATAATGTTATGATAAAACAAGTGTACAACATATAACTGTCTCTAAATAGTTTGACAGTTCGCTTGAGACTCTTGAGTGTATTACTCAAAAGATCCTGAGTTCGAATCCCTAATAAAGGGTAACTATTGAAGATCCCAAGAGACTAATTGAGATGCACACAAGCTGGCCTGGATACCCAAAAAAAAAAAAAAAAAAAAATGTACAATATGTAACAACAATGAATTATGAACTCCTATCATACTTCCATCTCATGTAATATCAGCACTACAGATAGCTTGGCTTGATTCAAAGAGAAAAAATAGTAATTTTTTTTATAATTATTTTAGAAACAAAAACAAAAAGATATAAAAAGAATTACAAAATCTATGACATTAATGTGTCAAGGTTGTTGGGATCCATGAATGAAGCAGAATCTAACTCTTTGACAGGCGTTGGCCTTTGGAATGATTTGGCAGGGCATATTGAGTAGTCCTTTGTTCTTGTTTGATGAAAGGAAGGGTTCCTGGACTTTCCTCCTCCAAAAGATGACTTAGTGGTGTTTGTGGAGGGTAATTATTCAAAATAAAGTCAATTTCTTCTCCACTGATTTCTTTCTGATTAAGAAGAACCTGCAATGCAACTCCAAACAATCACATTAGTAAATTAAATTACTCAGAATACTCACTTTTTCTTTTCTTTTAACATCAAAAGTATAAAGGCTAAGAATACCTTCACAGCTTTAAGCAATGCTGCATGGTGCCTCCGAAGCATAGATACTGTCCTTCCATACATTTCATGCAATAACTCTTCGGTTCTTCGTGCAACATCATCATCCATATCGAAGTTGATTGGGGGTTCAATAAGATCATAGTCATCATAAAGTGATCCTTCAAAGTCCAGCCGTGGGCCCACAAATTTAACGTTCTTTCTCCACGGCGGCGGCTCTCCATGTACAACCATTGGATTCTCTAAATTCCATCTGTTGAAAGAGAAGAAAGACCAGATATTAACGTTTCTCTCAAAAACAACCACCTAATCAGTTTGCAGTTGAAAAGGCACTAACATGGTTAAAATTTTGCGTGCCAGCCAAGATGCATCTGCAAGGTAGTTAACCGATGCCCTTGATGTGTCCTGTCCATATATAACCTCTTCTGCAGCCCTTCCTCCGAGTAAAACCTTTAAAGACATGAACTTAAATCAAACACTAAGACATAATAAGCAAAAGAACTAGCAGAACCACACTAGTCAGCCAGAAGTTCACACCTGCAGACGATGTAGCAACTGTGGTCGACGCTCAAACATGTATGATTCATCATCAAGCCGATGAAATATTAATTGTGATAGTGTCTGTACATAACACATGATATGCATTACCAAAGATAACAAGTGACAAAACACTTAACAAAGCAAAATCTAATAGTAAGGCAGCAGAGCCACACAACAAGAGAACTTCTCTAGAGACCTTAAGTAATTCTTAATGGTTTATTGTAGTTACATTTGATTACATTGCATCACCAATGGTGCAGATTTAACTAACGTAAAGGGTCATTCCACCTGATAAATCCATATCTAGTGATAGGTATCCTTTACCTAATCGGCAAGCATGGTGTGTTTTTGGCCAAATTTTAGGTGGGACCGGGCAATGTCCTCAACATATAATAGTTGTTCAAGTTTAAATACTAATGTTGTGTCCTTACCTATGCTCTTAGGTCAAGTGGCTACTTATGACAATAAAAGCATCCAAAGACTTTATGAAAGAAAAAGAGGATGAAACATATAAGGAAACTGGAAGAGGACCTGACCACGGGGCACAATTGAAATGCGATCACAACATTCAACTTCCGCATTTTCGTATCGCCTTAGCAGATGAGAAGTCATGGCAAGTCCCATTTCCGTAGTAGCTCTACGACATTGTCCCTGATGACCTAAGTCTAGACCAATACGTTTGGGTCCCACTGTAAGTCGGTCAACTGCATCATCCATGTCTGACTGAAGAATGGAGTCATGCCCTTTCCTTACTGCCACAAGAGCAGCCTCCTGGACCAGCTGAGCCAACCTTGCTCCTGTCCATCCTGAAAACAAGAAACATGATTCAGAAATTGCAATAATAAATTCAGTAAAACCCAAGAGTTAAAGCATACCAGGTAAGTTTTTGGCAAATGAAGATAAATCGACAGAATCTGACATTTTCACTTTGCTTGCATGAATTTTCAGAATTTCGGTTCTCCCTTTTGCATTTGGAGGGCGGATTCTTATCTACAGTACAAAAGCCATTGCAACAATCAACAGCTGAATACCATTGAACGAAGTTATAGCAGTTTGTTAGCTAGAACAATGCATCAAACAGGCCCCAGTGAAAAGATATGAAATATGCACATATTGTCAATTAGTCAGCTTATTTCTTGACAAATTATCATTGAACATGACAGATATTTCTCAAAAATCATCATTGGACATGACAGATCTGACCAAGTTCAACAGCCCGAGGAGTAGGAAAAATCAACTTTTTTTTTTCTTTATCTGCTAAAACCACTATGACTGTGTTTGTTTCGTTTTTTTCAAAATACTCTATTCTTATCTTTAAAAAAATGCATGTTTGTTTCCCTATTCTCAAAATCATATCCTATAATATTTAACCATTTTAAACCCCCATAGGTTTGTTAATTTAACTAAACACCCCCAACAAAAAAGTTTTATAAATGGATAAAAACACCCCCACCCACCCACATTTGTTAGATTCTAGAAAGTACCATCGAAATCTGGCGTAATGGCGCACTACTAGCTGGATCTAGCGGGTAATGCGTTGATCTGGCTTTTTCTGGCCAGATCTTTGGCCACATTTGACCGTAATTATATGGCCGTCGTTGACCGTCAATGACAACCATATCTTTGGCCGTCGTTGATGGCCAAATCCGTGGTGGATCTGGCCGAAAAAGGCCATAACGGCACACGACCGGCCAGATCTGGCTGGTCGTGCGCAATGAAATAAGATTCCAGCCAGATTCCGGCGGTGGTGGCCAGAATATAACAACTGTGGATGGGAGGGGGTGTTTTTGTCAATTTATAAACATTTTATTATTGGGGGTGTTTAGCTAAATTAACAAACCTAGGGGTTTTTTTTGCTAATTTTCAAATCCTACCTTATAATAATAACCCAACTCAACTTAACAATAATATTTCAAAAATACTACTCAAAATAATAAAACAATACACCTTATGTTGCTCAGCTAGTTATGTCTCTAGATTCAGTGATAAAGACAAACCTTTCGATCAAAACGACCTGGTCGAAGAAGTGCAGGATCTAGCAAATCCCTACGATTTGTTGCAGCTAAGAAAATAACGCCTTTACCAGTATCAAACCCATCAAGCTCTATCAAGAGTTGATTCAATGTTGTTTCCCTCTCTTGGGTGGCTGCATTATACAAGTGGTCCGTAGTTTCCTTGAAAATCCCTTGACGCCTGATCATGCAAAAACAATCATTCAAAGTATTCACATACAAACTGGTGCAGAGCAAAACAGTTCATAAACAGTGATCAAATCATATAGCAGCCGCTTTTTAGGACAGAGTAGAATCAAACATGGTGGCACATAATGAAATTCTAAGATCTACCAAGTGAAGAGGAGGAATTCAGTACAAGTGACAACAAGAACCCCATACCTAGTAGCCAATGCATCGATTTCATCAATGAATATAACAGATGGTTTGTTTACCTGCACAGAGCAGCATCTAATAAAATAAATAAATAACTTTTTTATCATAACTTGGAAACTTATACAATTATATCAATATAGCCAACTAAGTTGGGTGTCCTTAAAAGTCCAAACACTTCCAAAGCCACAATTGAAATCAACAAGAAGCCAGGTAGCAATCAAATCAAGAATGAGCAGTTTAATCACCTTAGCTCTCTTAAATAGATCCCTGATACGAGCAGAACCAACACCAACTAAGACTTCAACAAACTCAGATCCAGCCATTTGGTAAAATGGAACCCCAGCCTCACCAGCTATGGCTTTGGCAACTAAGGTCTGGAAAAGCATTAGTATTCAGTTTGTGTTAGGAAAAGCTCATCCACATTGTTTGAAAAATTGGATAACACATAAAACAAACCTTGCCACAACCAGGAGGACCCTCCAGTAGAACCCCATGTGGGGGCTTTATCCCCATTTTATCAAAAAGTTCGGGATTCTTCAAGTACCTCACCAACTAATCAGCAGAAAATGAAAGAAATAGATAAATTTCGATTAATTACAATTAGTAGAGTTTAGGAGTATAGTTCAAAATCCGAAAAAAAAAAACCTCCATAAATTGAATATCAATTTGAAATTAACTAAAATGTCTTCTGAGAAATAACTGACAAGAAACTATTAATTAAGAAATTAACAGCATTAAAGGAACAATATGTGCTATGGAATTGACAAAAAGATAATTATACTCTTGTACTAGTCTCAAACAACAAAACTATGATAAAATAAATTATTAACTGTTAACAGTCTCACACTTTCAAGCTTTCTGAAAAGATGGAACTACAATGTAACCAGAAAATGCTCAATACTTGCAAAAACATACAATTTTTTGTGATGTAGAGTAACAGTTGACTACTGGTTCACCATCTTCTATTTAACTCCTTTAATAAAACGATTTCCTATTAAGGAAAAGAAACAAAAGCACCACCATTAGAAGAGAAAAAATAGGGGTAACAATACCTCCTGAAGTTCCTCAACTGCTTCATCAATCCCTGCTACATCGCTAAACTTAACTCCTGTTGAGCCCTGAAAGAACAGCATTGCAGAATGTAAACAAATTGCACTTCAGACCGTATTAAAATTATAAATATGGGCAAATGAGTCATCATAAGATACTAACATCAACACGAGCTTCTGCTTTAGACCGTGAAAAATCAATCCCTTGCCATAGATCCTGCAAAATGTAGACATAATATAATGCATTCCCTTGTCAAACAAACAAAGAGCACAGAACCTGTCATTCTTGATACATGGCATACAACTGATGCAAGATTTAATTGCAAACTTAATAATATTTACCCATTTCCTGAAATTCTTAGGTCTTCTTGAAAGTGTAAAACGGACTAGGAGAACCATGGTCAAAAGAACAAGTATGATTGGTTTAAGCATCTCAAGGCTGGCAGAAACACCACCATAAGAGTACAAATCAGATAACCTAGTGAAAATTCCTCCTTCACTGGAAAGATCAAAAAGATTTTCCTGTACTCTCTCTAAGATTCTAGAGATCAAACCAAGAAAAAGATTAACAAATGGCTTCACTATAGGCCATACAACATATACAGTTGTCGCAAAGATGAAACTGGTTGCAGCAAAGACTGCCGAAGCAAGGAATCCTCCAACAACTGCTGCTGCAGCAGCTATGATAGCTGTCACCATTCCAAGCTCCACCATCATTCTGCTAGATATGGATGATGCAACTGGATGTGGGTATTCTGGCAATTTTCCCACCCAAGACTGCAGCACAAAATACAAACAGAGAAGAAGACATATCTAATCAGAAGAAAAGGATCTGCCAACTCTGTCAACAACATGTTTTAATACCTACGCTAATATGAGCAAACAGATCATCGACAGAATATCTAGCCTTTACTAAAGGTAACAGAATATAAACTATCATCAAATGACATCAAAGTCAATCAAACTTGACAGTTATTAAAATTAAATGATTAAAAAAAAAAAAAAAAATTATTCAAAAATATTAAGTTGATTGAAAATTTGAAATTGTGACCTGCAACCATAGTACCTTAAGTCTATTATAAATTTTGTCAACTAAAACCAAGCATGAAACTTCTGTGACTCTACTTCTAATTTAAAACATATACAAAACTATTACTATCAAACTTCCAGCTTTCTTAGTTATTTATAAGCAGAAATAGAGTAAGACTTAAGCAATAAAATCAAACGGATTTAAAGAATGATCACCGTCATGCGCCTCTCTATTTCATATTGTGGACCCTTGTACTCCTCCAGAAGCGCTTGAACTTCATTTTCATCCAGCCTCATTGCCCTACAAACACATAAAAACACTGAAACCACATAAAAACACCACAAAACCAAAACGCAAAAACTAATTATCATCCAATCAATTTTACCATTTGGTTCTTTGCAAGCTCTTATCACCAGGAATCTCTTTCAAATCTACAACAAAATCCCTATATCCATTTGCATAAGCTACTCCACCAACCTCTTTGGAAGTTAGCAACCTGACCTTATCACACTTCATGTACTTCCTAAAATCCTCAATAATCATTTTTGGTAAATCCTCCACATTCTTATTAAATTCCTCCTCCTCCGATAACTCAGCCCCGAAAACTTGCTCAGGCACATATAGCTTCCCTTTATATTCCCTCAAAATATCCTTCAAGTAAACATTTTCACTCTCATTTTTATTTCCACTCTCCTTCTCTGGTTTTACTCTCAAATTCAGCTTTTCTGCTAAACTTCGGAGAATACCCAGGTCATTTTTTTTACTCAAATTCTCTTTTTCTTTCAAAGTATACAACCTTTGGCCAATTAGATACTTGGGTTCTAACTGGCTAGGATTTTCCTTCAAAACCCTAGACACAAAATCTTCTCCGGCAGGTTTGCTAGTATCACCCGATTGAGATGATTCACACAGAACTGTAAATGATCTATTAAGAAAATGGGTTCTTGACTGAGATTTTCGAGCGAATCTCAAGGGTTTACAATTTCGGGGGATTGATTTTGTGTAGTTGCAGGGTTTATGAACATTAATCCTGAATGAAATGAGAGTGTCAATGGTGGTCATTTTCTTGAGGTAAATGGCAGATTAAGGTTTACTCAACTAAGGTTTAAGATGAGCTGTGTAAGAAATGTGAGAATTTGTCATCATTTTTCTATGGAAATTTGAAAAACAGGGTTTTATATTTAAGAAATCAGGGTTTTTGTTGAATTGAAATGAAAGCAGAATGAGAAAGAATGGAGCTTGGAGCGACTGCAGAGGGGTTTTTTATTTCTCAGTTTTATATCAAAACCGATGTTTTGGCGGTTCGGGTTTGTGACTTGTAAAATGAGCACTTGGTCAGTTGGTCTGGTTTCTTTCTAAAATTTGGGTCATGCCGGAAACACTATGGGACTGAAATGCAAGAACTTCAAGAAATGATCTCCATAAAAATACTCAAGTAAAATTTTTAATTCATTGGGAAAAGACAAAAAGAAATAACAAACCAAAATCCATTGATAATACTTAAAACGCTATATAAATTAAGCTTCTAAAGTTTTTATTTTTATTTTTTTAATTTTTCTTCCGTAACCAAAGTGTTGAGATCAACTTATGCACACCTCGACTAATCCTCGAAGGAGACTAACACAGCAACCCACTCTTTGGAGGAGACTAGCGTAGCAATCCACTATCACAATCCCTCACTTAAATTACAGATACTCTAATGAAAAATCTATCCTAAGACCTTGTATCTATCCTCAATTCGCCATAGCCATTTGAACTACACATGGACGGATAGCTTCTAAAGTTTTTGAGGTTTAAATAAAACTGAAAGAAGTTTGGAATTTTTCATATTATTTACAGTCCTATCTTTATCCTTTTGTTTGATAAAGAGACAAGGCTAAGGAGATAAGTAGTTGAGGATTAATAACACTTCCCAATTCCCATTATTAATTTATGCATTCATTTTGGTTGCAATTCATTAAGGTATTTGTAAGAATACACACAAGCCCATGCATTTGCTCAAAATGTCCAGAAATAGCCTATTTTACATCAGCTCACCCCAATTTATGTAAATTTTGCATGACCTCCTCTCTTGTAAGGCTTTTAGTTGAACTCACATTCAAAACTCAGAAGTAAAGATCTAATTGCACAGGGTATTTAATATGGTACATTCGGGTATGAACCAGTTGTCACTCTTTGGAGCCATACATTACTGTAATTTTTTGTTTATACCAAGTCTGTATTGACAGTGTGTTCCCATAACTACCTACAGATTCTCAGAGAACAAAAAAAAAGAGGGAGCTCCCTCCTTCCGGCAGCGCTTTTTGTTGTTGTTGTTGTTTTTTTTTTTTTTTCCTTTAAAAGAAAAAAATAAATAAATTTGGAGAAGTGTCAGGACGGATGATCGATTTTCCCCTTCTGTTGGGCAGCTGCCTCGGCATATTGCTCGGCAAGTTTCTTCACCTTTTCACCTTCCTTGATAAGGAAATTCGCATTCTTGGCATTTGAGTGGTACTTCATAACTTTATCAGTAGTTTTTGCCACTGCCCATCTATATTGTTCAACTGTGATCACACCACTCTTACAGAGTGGCCTGATGTGCTCTTTGATGTAAGCTTCCACCTGTGAATTGGAATGACCGATCAGGTAAGAGGAAATATGCAAATGGTAAAAAAACAAAAAAAAAAAAACAAAAAAAAAAAAAAACCCAATAAGAAGCATAAGTGGGCAAGAGAGCACCTAAGTTTCAAATAAATCTTATTTATATGATTATATCATACGAGAATAACGAAATAATTTGATAAGAACAAGAAGTGACAATGACAAATGAGGCTCTGAATACCTTCTGATGCACATTGAAGCTGCCACACTGCTTGTCATCACCAGTGTTAGATGTAGTTTCCTTCTTCGTGATTCTATCGCCTGTTTGAAAATGAGCCGGTGATTTTTCTATACCAGAAGAGTTGTGACTGTTGCTGCTGAAAATTGTTTTCTCTTCACAGATTTTGGTTACAACATCACATGTTTTTCCAGTGCATTTGTTCTCAGCTGGAGCTTCTCCATTAAGTAGTCCATATAGCTTCTGTGATTCTTCAGGAAATTTGCTAACGATTGGTTCTTTATCTGGGCCGTATAACTCTTCACATTCTGCTAGTGAAAGATCTTCACCTTCTTCACAAGGTAAGGACTCAGGAGGAACGCAGGACTTGCCAGTCACACACTTTGCAGTTGAGTTTTTAATGCCTCCATCGGTAGGACAGGAATCCTCATCAACATCATTCTTTCTCGAAACCCCATCTTTGAGATCTACAGAATTACTTGAATTTTCCGAGTTGAGAGTGGAGAAAACCACTTTCATTTTTGCCGCAACCTCTTCCTGTTGTACCTTAGAAACTTTCACGGTACTAGCTCCAATGTAGTCTTCATCTTCTAAATCATAATCAAAATCACCATATATATCCACTTCTGGATGAGAATCCATTTCAAATATACTATCAGGTCCTTCCTCTTTAGTCTCCATTGAGGAAATATTCACTTCATTCTGGACCTGTGTTGTGTGATGTGGACTATTTGGAGGGGAATCGGATAAAAGACCAGCATTTCTCAACGCTTCTTCAACCACGGGGTCAGCTGAAGGTTTGTCAGTAGTTTGTTCTGATTCATGAACAGGAACTAAACATTGAGAAGAATTTGATTCTGTGGCTCTAACAGCCTTCTTGTTATCCGAACGATGCAATATCTCCTGGGAACATAGATTCAAATATACTAGTTTGCTGTTTGACCTATCAGCAACCTCCCTTTCAATATTAACAGCATCTGCAATGGCCAATTCTGTTTCTGCAGTTCTGCGAATGACTGGTAGATTTGCTTTCCTCAAAAAGAGCTCTGTTAGGCGGTAAAGTTGTGTCTGCACAACATATAGCTCAAAATTACTACTAAAAAACCAGAAAAACAACCACGGACTTAGTATGTAGTAATTATTACGATCATTTTAAATGATTGTGGCACCCTTTTCTTTTTTGTCCATGGAAAGACAACCTTTATGCTCATGGAATCATCCATTGAATGTGCTATGAACCAAAGATGAGATAACTAAGACAATGCCGAAATAAAACCGTACAAGGAACTCCATACCTGCCTAACTGATATAGGGATTTTATTATGGCAACTAGGTGCCAGTGCTGGTCTCATGTCTATTGGTAGTTGAGCCTGCTCACAGCAACCCAAAAAAGGATTTAGTAGAAGTTATGGAAAGTGAAACAGAATCTCATGGACACATAAAAATGTCAGTTTCAAAGGGGGAAAAGATAGCATACTAGTAGAGGATAATTTCCTTTAAGCACTGAATTGTCCTCCTGTTTTTCATGTGTTCCATTTTTGCCCGCCACAGCAGTTTTCCTAGCAAGAATCTCCATAGCCCATTTTCTTTTATCCATCTTCACATTATCAGATTTAACAGTCATGCCATTCTTGGAATTGACGGTAGAATCACCTAATGGAGAAACAGAAGACCCTTTTGGGCGTCCATTCAGATAAGTTTTACTAGAAGCAGCATCACTTTTAGAGGATGATGAACTATTTTTGGTCCCTTTCTCAACAAGTGAGGGAATGCCAACTTTTGATGAAACCTTACTTGTTTCAGTTACTTTTGAAGCACGTTTATCAATAGAAAGCTTTGAATCTTTCTCAATTGAAGTAGTTTGATCTTTACTCTGGTCAGTATGACTGGCAACTTTAAGAGCTGAAAGAGGTTTGACATCATCCTTGCGTGGAAAAACAGATGTATCTGCTAAGTACAATCTGGAAAGTATGGAATTTTTAGATTGGCATTCTGTCAAAGGCTCAACAGCTGAGTTTTCTGGATTCTTTCTGAGGAGGTTAAGAACTGACTTCAAAGTCTCAATCTTCTCAGGCTTTGTAGCTCTCAGGCAGCGATACTTCCAAAATTCAACTTCACAGTCTCGGTCCCACGCGCGTCTTCTTCTTCCATTGGAGTTCCCGTAAATTTTCTTCGTTAGATTCTCACGAACTTTACCCTTCTCAAGCAAGGACTTCTTAACCTTCACAGCCAAAGGTGATATCTTCTTGACAGGTTCAGTTTTTGGTCCTGCTATAGCAGTCCTGAAGGCAGAAAGAAGATTAAGGTCAAAAAGGTGTTCACCAAAATCTTCTGAGGATCTGTTACGAACAACTTCTCTTATTTCTTTTCTTAGTTCTTGCACTATTGCTGATGAATCCTTATCTTCAGTAGCTCTCTTCATGATTTTTTTAACTCTCAAACGAGATGCATTTTCTCTTTCTTTTAAGAAATTATCTGAAGAATTTTGGTGCACAAGCCCCTTGGGAGACCTATGTTTCTTCCCCTTGACTATACTCATTATAGAAGTCATATTTGCCTTCTGTGGACTAAGTTTTGACTTGTAATCTTTGGTCCCTGCTATCAAAGTGGGAGGTTTTTGGAAATCATTGGAAATAGGTGTATCAGCTTCTTCCTTAACTGAGATAATTTGAGTCTTCCCTTCAGCTCTAATTTTCTTTGCAGAAACCTGAGTGTCCTTAGCTTTGGTTTCGTGGTCATCATCCGTCAAGAGAGGACCATCACTAATTCACATCAAGAAATCAGCAGCAGAGAAAAGTATAAATTTTCATGTCTACAAGCAGTAGAAGATAAGCATCAACAAAGTTAATTCACAGAAGCACACATCTTTAAGTGCAATGAGAATCAACAAACACATTGCCTACATAACACTGCAACATGTGTCTTCCTTTTTCCTCTTGTTTCAGTTTTTGGTTGGGAAGTGGTGGATTAAATCATGAAAACCACACTAATTCAACCTACAGATTTTGCTGACACAGGTATTGAGACAAAAACAAGCCAGCCAAAGAACACAGGGACCAGAACTTCTAACCTAAATAAATTCATCTATAAACATATTATCCCATGTTTGTTTCCAAGGATGTTTAAAGATACAACGAAATTCAGCCAATAGGATTTTAAAATTATGCATGGCATGTTTGAAAGAAATGAGCTGGCCCAAGCAATTAAGACCAAAACTGCATCCAGGCAAGTAAGAAAAGGGTACACACCCTAGGTTTGGTTTATTTGAAGCCTACTGCAGATAGAACAGAATTTGCAAGATTAGGGACAATTAACTCATCATGAAGTCAACAAATGTCAGCAAATTAGAGGGTGGCTCTCCACTAAACAAAAGTCTGATCTAGCATTTTAAACCAACAATCTAAATTTTAAGGTTCCTGAAACAGCTCCTATACAAGATTCATGGAAAAGCACAAAAATATCTCAACTAATTGAGCCAATAACAACCAAACACAGTACTTTCTAGAGCAAAAGAGTAATGCACCAATAATTTAGCGGGACTGCAAGTTTTTATTGAGTGTTAACAGTACGAAATCTCAATTGGAAAAAAGCTATGAGCACTAGTTGCCAAAAGGTTTGAGTAAAACAGGGAATGGCAAGTGACCTGCATTCTGAATGGTTTCTCTTTACACCAATAATTTGGGAAGCATCTTCACCAGCAACAGGCTCAATCTTGTCAGCTGAAAGCATTTTACAGATCAAACAAAGTAAAATGATCATAACACATTCATGCAGAAAAAATTCTTACTGAACTAAATATAAAAGATGTTTGCTTTTTTCCATATCCTGACAATGGTGAAGGAACTTGAAAAAGACACTAATAGCCACTCTCTAGTCTCTAACTTACCTTTGGGCAAAGGTTCTCCTGAAGGATCTTGCTGCTGTACATCTCTACTAATTTGATCTTCAGTTAAATCTTTGTTTACGTCATTAACTACAAGGGATATTAAATACAGTTACCTAAGCAAAAGAAATACAAATTTCCAATTGCAGATAACAGTATAAAGGAGTATTAAGCCTAAGAAGACCAAAAGATGCACAACTAGTAAAATAACAAAAGTTACCAGATAAAAAGGAGCCCACAGATAAACCAAGATGAAGACCTATACTGGATTCACTTTCAAAGAGTTTCCTTCCAGTGTAAATTTCATTAAAAGACTTGCTCAAGGAAATTTTAACGCCATCAGAGGAACACTGTTCATTTACTTTTTCATCAGAACAGCTTATCTTCAACTCAGTATGTCCCAAGGAATTAGAAGGTAGACTTGAAGATGTACCATGCAATAAGGATAGCTCCAGCTCCTGCATCTCCAACACTGTTGGAATATCAGTTCTCTTACCTAATGGCGAATCAGCCTTAGGACCATTACCATCATTAATAAATGTTTCACTTCTGAGGCCCTTGTCAACTTCAAGCATCGACTGAGAGTACTCATTTGGCTCTTCAGTACATTGATTTCCTCCAACCGTTGACACAACAATAGCAGTTTCACCAGCATCAGCAACGGATACAGATACCTTTCTTGAAAATGCAGCCTCTGCCAAACATTCACCTTCTGCACTTTCTGGACCACACTGGCTATTTGTGCTTTGTGTTAAATTGACAGCTGACTTCTGTGGCTCGTCAACAGTGCATCTACAAGAAAGCAAGATGAAAATTGTTAAGAGTGAGAACAGGTAGCCTAGAATTCTATCTAGTTTACTCAATACCTGTCTCTTATAGCAGAGGACATAATGAGGAATATAGAAGACAACTTTGTTGGATCAATAGATATTAAGTCACAGCATGATGATTAAGAACCAATTGCAGGGTTCCCACTCCCCAATTCCTAAGTAATATGTCAGACAATCAAGATTTCTAGTCAACCATTACATCTCAAAGATGAGAGATTTGAACCACCTTGATGCACTCCATCATCAACTACAACCTAAAAAAATTTATGCAACAATATACATTATCCTATTTTGAATTTACACATAAAAAAAGGTTTTTAACATAAATGACACATGCTAGTGGATACAATAATAATTTTGCAGTGCAAAGCCATATCCACAGACTGTACTGAACTAAGGAACTAACAGCCCAACACTGACCATTAAAATAATCATCCGCTTCTAATCTACCTTGGACATAACCATGTATCTTCAGAAGTGCCTTCAGGATCAAAGCCGACACAAAAAGCATGATACCTGTTGACATGAAAAGTTTATCGATCAGGGCATACCAAAATTTAAAATGTAAATGAATGTTTTAAGCACTCTAAATTTAAGATCCCTACAAATTTAATCAAAAGATTACAGTTTACCACATATCACAAGAATCACATGCAATCGATGTGTCAAGAGTTGAATCTCCCTCCACAGTTGTTGATCCACTTCGAATTTTGCATCCATCCCCATCCAAGCAGATAACTGCCTAAAAATGATGAAAATACATAAAACTAAGATGCTGAACAGACTTTGAAATGCAAAGTGATTGGAAAATGGATATTCTAAGCAGAACTATAAACAGTAAGTGGCTTCATTTCTGAAACCACAGTATCAACCCCGAGATATTTTCCTTTTAGTTCAAACACGGAAGTATATCTACATTTTGTAAAGAGCAACAATGACATTGATACAGCTTGCCATGACCGAACAGGGTCATGCTTGGGCCTAGAAGTATAAAATGACTGTTCCTTTGGTAGTTTTATCGAAAAAATCCGCATTCAATTCAAACCGTCTTCTCTCAATAACCCAGTGAAGCTCAGACTGAACTTCAGCAGTCTAGGAGTCAGGTTCAGTACCTTGCGCCAGAAACCCAAAAGGATAACAAAAGAAGGATAATTACATTTTCATCAATATAGTATGACGGAAAAGATAGAGCTTTGCTCTTCCCCTCAACGAACCAATCATTATCTCTGCATAGAAGAAAGGGAAGAAAAACGTAAATCACTGCTGAATGAGAAACAAAGTGAAATTATCAAGGCTGTCAATTACAATTGCTCCATACAGAATACTTCAACAATAAAAAATCATACTGGAAATAGCAATCACAGCTCAAGATCCCATGTATAATGATAGCCTCTGTAATTTAGTGATTATAATTTCCTATAATACAGACATAAAAAATGCCATATAAAAGGGTGCATAAACCTATCCTAAGGTATAAAAATGCATAACAGAAATTTTTTTCTAGAGAAGATCAAGTGGCTTGACAAAAGGGCATGAACACATAAAGGTCTCCACCCAATAACATCTAATATCCTACTCCAACCAGGCAAATTGAAATGCCATAGGAAATAAGCCTAATTTCCCTTAAAAAAAAAAAAAAAAAAAGAAGTACCTAGATAAGGAGTCTTCATCAACATTGTTGCTTCCAATGGTATCATATACCTTCATAATCAAATGTAAACTCATAAGCCTTACAGATGATTTAGCACAAAATTCTAAATAATATCCAAAATAACTTTACAAATGAAATAGTTAAAAAGATCTTACAGATAGGCCATGGAGACACAGTATTCGATGTCTCAATAACAAAAACAGTGATAAAAAAATAAAAAGAAACCATAACCATGTATCATTTTACATCACTCACTGGAACACATGTAATCAGCTGAAATTCACCCTGACAAAGAGGGCAGAGGTTTGTGATTGTGGACCAGTTGTCAATACATGCAAAACAGAACCTGAAATCCAAAAGATACACACAAGTCATCAACTCTAATCTGTTATTATTATAAGCAAATGTAAGTTGGAATTTATCGTACACGACTCATAAAAGTGAAGTTTTGGTAATATCATCCAACAATCTTAAATAAATCACCATTGCCATAAAAAACACTTTAACAAATCCAAATCTCAAAACATAGCAAGTGCTATGAAGAAAATATCCTCAGTTACATTTAAACTTTGGGGAAACAAGAAAAAGAGATGAAGAAATATTGAATAGTTTCTCGAGTCAGATAAGTTGACAAAACAAATATTTATGCCCAAGCACATAATTAGACAACTAGCAATAGAAACCTATCCCGGAACAAGAATAAAAGTCATGGCAATTTCAGAAAGCACTTGATAGCAAAGTAAAAACAGTAGGAAAAGGAAGAACCAATTGGGCAATATATACCAGTGCTGGCAGCAATCTAGAACCCCCCTATCAATGACAACATCCATGCATATCCCACATCTTCCACCCTCAAAACTCGTATGATCCTGCACAGTACAGTGACCTAATTAATCTCAAATAAAGCACATATCAGAACTTGTAAGCAGCGTTTAAACTTCATTTTCTATTTTTAAAAAAATCACCAATGACCTAGAACCTATTCCATCAAAAATTTAAATCTCATCGCAGCTTAATCAATACCATATGAGTATTAACAAAACATTAAATGGGCACAAAGTAATTCATTTCCTGATGTATCATAATACAAATTTTGCTTTCCAAATCACTTCCCGATAATGATAACCAAACAAAACTATGATTATTCTCCCTAAAAACATTAGCAATTCAAAAAAAATCAGAATAAAATAAAAATTACAAAAGCAAAATTCAATTGAAACCCACATTCTCATTCCTATCAAGTTGAAATGTGTCTTCTTCCAACATGCCACTTATTTGCATGTCCAAATTAAAATCTGCACACAGAAATTAATATCATCAATAATCGAACTTAACAATTATAAAGAAAACATGTATAACCGTAACTACGTGTATCAAGGGTGGTTCACGATGTTAAAAATGGACAGATTGGAAGGGCAAAATGGAGATAAAGAAAACTTAGGAAAGTGGAGCGAAAAACTTTACCTGATACTGATGGAAACCGCCAGTTCTGAAGATCAGAGAGTGATGGAAATAGATGAGAGAAAGGGTAAATTCGTGATTCTGAGATTCGAGGGATTGAATTTACTCTTCTTAATGATGAATCCGCGGATATTTATGATATTAAAAATTTAAAATAACCAAAGGGTGTATTCATATTATGAGAACACTTGGGGTATTTAATATTTGCAAAACAAATCCGTAAAAAATAAAATACAATCACATGGGTGTGGCAGTTACAAATTGATATTTTTCCAACTTTGGGGGCTCTATAAATATTTACCAAAAACATAGGGATTTAAACAGAGTCACAAGCAACAGGGCTGTTTTTTTAGAATATGTAAAACATCGGGGTTCAAGATAACCCTCAAATTTTTATATTATAACCAGAGGTTTAAAACTTAAAACACCATTAATCCACGTATTGAGATGATGGAAGGGTCCATATTTAGACCTTTATGTAGGAGTGTTCAAAAAAATGTAAAAACTGAACCGATAACCGAACCGGAAAACCGGTTAACCGAAAAAATGGTTCGGTTATGGTTCGAAAAATTCAAAAAACCGAATTTCCGGTTCGGTTAACGGTTCGGGAAAAAATAAAAAGCGGTTAACCGAAACCGGTTTTTTGAACCGGTTTTACAAAATATATATATATGAAATAAAAAATAATAATATTATATATTATATATTAAATAAAAAATAATAATATTTTTAATGTATCGTTAGTAGTGATCAATGGATATATATGAATGTCTAATTTTTATTTGGATATGTATTATTTATATTTACAATTTAATTTAGGAAAAAATAAAAAAAATAAGTTTTATAAAAAAAAGGAAAACCGGTTCAAAACCGGTTAACCGCTTTAAAAAAAGCAGTTAACCGGTTTTTCGGTTAACCGAAAAATCGGTTTTTCCTCTAAACCGGTTCGGTTTCGGTTCGGGAATTTTCCCAAACCGAAAAACCGGTTCGGTTCAAAAAAGCAGTTAACTGGTTCGGTTAACCGCTTTTGAACACCCCTACCTTTATGTGATGGACACGGCAGCTCACCCCACAAACAAAAAGCAAGAAAGCTCACCATTTGATGGGGAGAACGACATTTTCCCACCCAAGGTTTGGCGAAACGACCTTTTTCTCAATTGTCAAGTTTCAAAATGACACTTTTCCACTCTTCATCAGGTTTTGTTAGTGTTTTCTTTTAATATTTGATTAAAAAATACTTTCAAATAGTTTATTTTTTATTTAATTTATTATAAATTAAAATTTAGTTAGATCAAAATATTTACTCGATTATTTATTAAATGTAAAGATATATTTTTTCCTTTATTTATTTAATTAATTAAAAATATTGATTTGCTATGTTAATTAGTAAAAATGAAAAACATTATATTATGAAAAATATTATAAATTTAATAGATTATTAAATAATAATGATAGGATATTGATGATATTATAAATAAATAAATATTAAGGTCATTTAACTTTAAACAATATCATAGTATTACTCTTTAACTTTTTCGGTGGGACTAACTATTTTTTCTTTTTTAACTTTTTAGTTAATTAAAAAATAATAAAAAATTTATAAAGTCAAATATTTAAAGGTATTTTTGTCTTTTCAATAAAATATTAATGAAAAACATAATAAAATCTAATGAATGATGAAAAAGTATCATTTTAAAACTTGAAAGATAAGAAAGCGTCGTTTTGCCAAACCCTGGGTGAGAAAATGTCATTCTCTCCCATTTGATCACAGAGACGACATTCAATTTTTGTTATACGGGACACTTTTCATTTCAACTGGAGATATCAAACGTCAGGCCAAAAGTCATTTTCATTCAGTACTACCATGGCAAGAGCAAATTGAGGCTTGAGCCATATAAAATGTGGGGGTGTTGCTGGAAAACTGTAATAAATATCCTAGCCCCTATTTAAAATAGTGGCTGAGTGAAATAATTGAGCTGACCAGTTTTGTTCTTATAATAATGGGAGGAAATCCAAAACGAAGCAGTGAAGTATAGAATAGAAAGCGACAACTTTAAATATAATTGATGACACATGCTGCCATGACCAGAAGCACAAACTATGTCCTGCATATAAAATACATTTCAACTCTTTTAACAACAGCAGCACCGCCACCAAGACCAAGAACTTGATGACTTTATTCAACTTTAACTGTCAGTTAAAGCTCTAGAAATTTGTATGTCGATAATCAAATTTGTGGTTTCTTTTTAGTTTCACCTTCAAGTTAATCAGGTAAGTGCATCAACATAGTAGCATGATATATGAAATATGATTTGGGTTTACTGTTTTATTGGTTCCTGCAATGGTTTTTGTTTCAGTTTGCATGCTTAAGTAGCAAGATATTTTGTAAAAATGGAACAATCATTGACAGCTTTGTGTTTTGAGTCTCACAGNGTGATTTATGATCGCTTAAGCGATCTCTTCCGAGGCAGAATAAAATCTGCACAGATCTATGATCGCTTAAGCGATCCTCTTGTATCGCTTAAGCGATTCCTTGCTTTTACTCTTGGTCGCTTAAGAGATTTAAGATCGTTTAAGCGATCTCATCCGAGGCAGAATAAAATCTGCCCAGATCTATGATCGCTTAAGCGATCCTCTTGTATCGTTTAAGCGATTCCTCCCTTTTACTGTTGGTCGCTTAAGCGATTTGGGATCTCTTAAGTGATCTCTTACAAGGCAGAATAAAATTTGCCCAGATCTATGATCACTTAAGCGATCCTCTATTATCGCTTAAGTGATTCATCGCTTTTACTCTTGGTCGCTTAAGCGATTTCGGATCACTTAAGCGATCTCTTTCGGGGCAGAATAAAATCTACCCAGATCTATGATCGCTTAAGCGATCCTCTGGTATCTCATGCGATTCTTCGGTTTCACTCTTGGTCGCTTAAGCGATTGTAGATCGCTTAAGCAATCATTTGAGAAAAAATATTGGTCGCTTAAGAGATATCTGTGGTCGCTCATATATCGCTTAAGCAATCATGAAAAAAAAGAAGAATCCTACATTTCTCCTGTATTATGTAATAATATGTCATTTATAACTCATTTTCCTCCCAAATACGAAAAGAATATGCAGCAAAATGAAGTCATTTATATCAATCTAATCCATCACAGATCAAAATATAAGAGACATCAATGTAATTGAAAGTTTATACTTAAAATCATTCATAATAGTGCCAAAATTGAATAAATTCTATGCCATTTTGACAAGTTTTGGAATTTTGTATAATCACTGTCTGAGATCATTCTTTGGTACCATGCCTTGCCAGCAACCTTGATTGCAGATGCCGCTACTATGTGAAGTTTTGGAATTCGGTATAATCACTGTCTGAGATCATTCTGTGGTACCATGCCTTGTCAGCANGGTGCCTCCAGAAGAGGAGCGGGTGGTGCCGCCAGAGGTGGCTAACATTATCATCCACCCGCCATTCAAGAAGACAGCAAAGGGGAGAAAAAGAGTTAAGCGTATTCCATCAGCCCTTGAGGTTCCGCGGAAGATGAATAAGTGCTCAATTTGCAAGCAACCTAGCCACAAGAGAAGCAGTTGCCAAAAGCAATCACATGCACATCCAGAAAATTAGGTTCGAAGAAGGATGAAATTCAGCGAGTTGCCAAGGCCAACCGTTGATGAGTTATTGTTTTCAATTATTGATGTTATAAATTTTATATTTCTTGTTACATGGCTTAAATATTTGTTGTTGATTTTAGTTTGGAATTAGGTTGTCAAATTGAGGAGAAAGTATGGAATTAATACGTGTTGGTAATTCTAGTTTGTCAAAATTCAGGAGAAAAGCAGGAAAAGTATATATCGCCAATGATCGCTTAAGCGACTAAGGGTTTTTCAAACAGGATCGCTTAAGCGATCCCCGATCGGTTAATCGACCAAGACAAAAAGACAAGAATTGCTTAAGCGATATCTAGGATCGCTTAAGTGATCGTGCAACTGGGCAGATGATTCTGCCCAGGGGAACGATCGCCCAAGCGATCCACGTTCGCTCAATCGACCAAGAGAAAAAGACAAGAATCGCTTAAGTGATATCACAGATCGCTTAAGCGATCGTGCACCTGAAAATATTTGATTCTACCCAAGTGTGCGATCGCTTAAGCAATTTACGATCGCCTAATCGACGAAGACAAAAAGAGAAGAATCGCTTAAGCGATTCTTCTAGGATCGCTTAATCGACCAAGACAAAAAGACAAGAATTGCTTAAGCGATATCTAGGATGGCTTAAGCGATCGTGCAACTAGGCAGATGATTTTACCCAGGGGAACGATCGCCGAAGCCATCCACGTTCGCTCAATCGACCAAGACAAAAAGACAAGAATCGCTTAAGCGATATCATGGATCGCTTAAGCAATTTACGATCGCCTAATCAATGAAGACAAAAAGAGAAGAATCATTTAAGCGATTCTTCTAGGATCGCTTAAGCGATCATGCAGTGGGCAGATTTGATTCTGCAAATCACATGATCGCTTAAGCGATCAATGATCGCTTAATCGACCAAGACAAAAAGACAAGAATTGCTTAAGCGATATCTAGGATCGCTTAAGCGATCGTGCAACTGGGCAGATGAAGCAGCAAAATGAAGTCATTTATATCAATCTAATCCATCACAGATCAAAATATAAGAGACATCAATGTAATTGAAAGTTTATACTTAATATCATTCATAATAGTGCCAAAAATGAATATATCCTAAGCCAGTTTTACAAGTTTTGGAATTCGGTATAATCACTGTCTAAGATCATTCTTTGGTACCATGGCTTGCCAACAGCCTTGATTGCAGATGCCGCTATTATGAGAAGTTTTCAAATTCGGTATAATCACTATCTGAGATCATTTCATGGTACCATGGCTTGCCAGCAGCCTTGATTGCACATGCCTCCTCCTGGCCACCAGCCTTGATTGCAGATGCCTTGTCGGCAGCCTACTCTGATAGCCCAAGCCAGTTTGAGGAGTTCCCTCTCATTGTTTGCCAACAACCTGCAAAATTATCCGGCACACCTGCAGCCACGTCAACTTTTCTAAATAAAACANTGCCTCATCTCCTCTTGCCAACCAGCCTTTGTTTGAGAAGTTTCCTCTCATTGTTTGCCAGGAACCTGCAGACACGTCAAC